ATAATAGTACCTTCTGAAAACGGACCCTCTTATGACGTAGAAAGCTCATCTCGCCATAGTTGAAAGAAAATACCAAACGCACGACGGAGACTGAGGCAACTGATATATTAATTCTTTCAACTGTGATCTCGCGCTAATTCACTCTATCAGAAATCATGTATCGTTCATCTCTGTCTGGAATAGAGTCTTGTTTCAGCATTAGGGTTTTGACGTCACATCATCGCCTCGTTTTCAGACGTCCGAAGAATCGGGGATTTCAATAATTTTTTATAAAACGTAGGGAGCTCACAGCAAGAAACGGTTTGCGGTGATGAGCTAGTTTGGGTGAGTTCTATCGAATTATGAAATAAATTTTTTTTGTGATATAAGCCCATTGGCTTTGTACAATAGTACATTATACATCAAGGGACAGAAATGCAAGATTTTTTCCATTCCCGATTTGTAGCTCAAGGGCGAATCAGAACCATAGTACATGATGCATTGTTGGTTGCATGAAAATTATTATAATAACCAATTCATGATGTATAATAAGTTTGTGTCGTAGATTATCTTAAAAACCATACCCCGAAAAAAAAAAATGAGCACGCCACTTTACGCAAAATTCTCTGATAGACAAGGGTGAGACATATAGTTTCCAGTGCAACTTCCTTTATAATAAATTTCTAGATATAGATGTCCAATTAGTATGAATATGTAAAATCGCCCAGTATATACAGAGTGACTCATCTGAAAGCGGGCCACCTTCATAAATAAAGCATAGATCTAAATATACCTACACATGTGTATGGGTGGTAATAATAGTAAATATGTTGAACTAGGATAACAATAAGGGTGTATATTATTATGTATTGGTTTGATGAAACAAAGTTCTATCTGGGTGTAGATATAGGACCATGATGGAAATTGATAGACCAAATTAAGAGAGAAACATTCTGTAGATAATGGTAGATAGAACTTTGCATTATGACTAACTCATTTAAATTCCAACAGACTGCGATAGTTGACTTCTCGAAATGAAGAATTCATCAGATAGAACCCTAAAATACCGAGAAGTAAGAGATGAATAATTTTATTTCATAATCTGAAAGTTATAATTAAAAAAAAAATTGACAGCGGTGGGATTCGAACCCACGCCCTTTCGGACTGGTGCCTAAAACCAGCGCCTTAGACCGCTCGGCCACGCTGCCTATGGATCAAAATTTTCCATATTCATTATTATATACTCAACTGAAACATTTAGAATGCACAGGGGTATACATTATTTTAGTGCAAAAAAAAATCAATTTGAAGATTGAGATTTTCCAAATGATGTGAACTTTTTGAGTTCAACAATTTCATCAAAACTCACACAGTGTGGTCAAAAATATCTTGTAATAGTTTTTCGAAATAGCTTATCTAAGGTTTGATTGTTATAAATCGAAAATGACCCTGTATATTGGTATATTATGAAATAACTGAGATATGATTCCGCACGATTCGCTGTTGCGTTAATTGTAACAGTGCGCTGCTCCTATATTGGTTGGCGTATGGAGTCAGTTACAAAGCCTACACAGAAATGCACATAATGGGTTGAAAGGACATTTCGTAAGGTATATATTCAAGCATAAATCACTTGAAATTGAAAGAATGTGAATTATTTAGTTGATAATAAAAATATTCCTCCAAAATAAACTGCTGATCAATCGAACGGCATCACGGCGCACATTGAATATTTTCGCGAAAATTCCACGTATTATATAGGATGCGATTTTCTTCAATCTGAAGATTGATCCATTGGGTATATGACCGATAGACCGCTGGTAGAAATACATGGTAACCTCCGACTATACAGGGGTGATGAACAAACCTCTGCAAAATATTGAAAAATTATCTATGCTCCCAATTTGATGGAAAATTTTCGAGATTTTTTTCAAGCATATTTTCATAATTCTAGAGCATATTCCTCGAAATGGTTTCGCAATTTTTCTCCTTTCCAGATTTTCGAGAGAAAGATTTTTTTTCGAAAAATGTGATAATTTTGTACTACTGACCAGAAATATTCTTATTTCTACCTCAAATATATCACAGATTTTCTCTTGGATGAGCTATTGTGACCTTTATTGTTTGAAATCTTATATTTTTCATATACAGAGTGTTTGGCAACAATATTTGATTGATATTATTACAGGAAGACCGAGCACAACACATTGATCAACTTGAATAGTGTTAGAGATATCGCGGAATATAGGTCGCATTTCACCCGTTAGATGGCGAAATCTCAACCAAAATTCAAGGATGGTAGAACTGATGATAATTAAAATTCCCCAACATTACAGTTTCGTACTTTCAAATTTAATCTCATTTGATTTGAGGTTATGTTATGAATGTTATGCTATTATTATTTCTGGTGTAAGCGACATTTTCTGTTTTCTGTCATGAAATAAATCTGTAAAGTGTCGCCATCTTGCGAACAACTGAGAACTGATATGCCATTATTGCGGAATCTGCGGTCAAGCGTTTTAGGTGAAACAAAACACTGTCTGTGATTACAATAATTACACATTGATAAAATAAACCTCTGGTGCGCTCACTCTTCATTTGTTTCGTCAGACTGGTTCTTGATATAAACAATTGAATTTCAGACGATGACGTGGGGTTCACATATCGAATGTTAGATGGCGTGATTCTTAGAACTTATGATCAACATCAGTTCTACCAACCTTGATGCGGCTAAATCGCAAAATGTATTCCCTATCTTCATTGGTCACAATTCGGTCACAATTGGGCGTGTTTTTCATTCCATCGAAGAAAGTGCGCACTGATAGATGCGGTTTTTTGTCGTGACGTCACCAATTGTTCTGTTGGAATTTATGCTGGAAGGATTGAACAATGATTGGGCGTGTTTTTCATTCCATCGAAGAAAGTGCGCACTGATAGATGCGGTTTTTTGTCGTGACGTCACCAATTGTTCTGTTGGAATTTATGCTGGAAGGATTGAACAATGGTTTATAGAACACATTGATGGAAACACGGATTTTGTTGTGTGTCAGTCATCATGTATCTTGAGAATCAGAAAAGGCTAATTCGACTTTATCGATTAACACTGACTCTTTCTTCTAAAATCTCTCAAGAATCTCAAAAATCCTCAATATTAATTGTTTTCTATCAAATCAAAACAAAAAACAACACTAAAATGTGTCAACTGTCATGTCAATATCCTCCAAACTGCTGCATGGATTCTCGAAATGCGATTTAAAAGTGCGCATTTTATTACAACAGTTTGATGGATGTCCATCAACATTCCAGCGGAATTTTGCAACAGTTTGATGGTTTCTTCGATTCATGCGCATGATAAAATGTTGGAATGAAAAACGCACCCGTTTATACAACACATTGATGGAAACACGGATTTTGTTGTGTGTCAGTCATCATGTATCTTGAGAATCAGAAAAGGCTAATTCGACTTTATTGATTAACACTGACTCTTTCTTCTAAAATCTCTCAAGAATCTCAAAAATCCTCAATATTAATTGTTTTCTATCAAATCAAAACAAAAAACAACACTAAAATGTGTCAACTGTCATGTCAATATCCTCCAAACTGCTGCATGGATTCTCGAAATGCGATTTAAAAGTGCGCATTTTATTACAACAGTTTGATGGATGTCCATCAACATTCCAGCGGAATTTTGCAACAGTTTGATGGTTTCTTCGATTCATGCGCATGATAAAATGTTGGAATGAAAAACGCACCCGTTTATACAACACATTGATGGAAACACGGATTTTGTTGTGTGTCAGTCATCATGTATCTTGAGAATCAGAAAAGGCTAATTCGACTTTATTGATTAACACTGACTCTTTCTTCTAAAATCTCTCAAGAATCTCAAAAATCCTCAATATTAATTGTTTTCTATCAAATCAAAACAAAAAACAACACTAAAATGTGTCAACTGTCATGTCAATCTCCTCCAAACTGCTGGATTCTCGAAATGCGATTTAAAAGCAATGAACTCAATACAACAACAACAATACAATTTTACACTTATCACAATTGATATTATTGTTTCTTATTTGTTCACGTGTTCTCTCTATCTCGAAATAAGTGACGAGATAAGTGCAAAACTACCTGAAAAAAATTGTTTTGTTTCTAATATAGGTACTTTTTCACCATAATATTGTTTTCTTTGGGCTTAGAGAAGGTTACAATAATTATTGTTCCTTCCTCGTATATCCAGAAATAGATGTGCTACACAAATCTTGCATACATAATTTCTTTAATTTTTTTGCGACACTGTATCCGTTAATCCTCTCCAAACATTCAAAGCAGTGGCGGGTAAAAAATGTTTTTTCTACAAACGTCAGTAAAAGTATAATTTTCAAAGCATGCTGTCAGTGTCTAAAGTGCAATACTTTTAGCACTAGTGCTAGAAGTTATTCATTTCCATAAGGAAATATAAAAACAATTCAAAATGAAATTTGTATTCAATTAAACGTACAATTAGTAAAACTACAATTACAGGGTGTAAATTTGAAAACTTCCAATACGAATATCTCGCGAAAGAAAAAAGTCAGAAAAACGCCGTTTGGCAAGAATGCTAATGAGTTAAGGGGAACTAGAACCACCATATTTCGGTCAAGGGATGAGTCACCCCGTCGGCGCGACACACCCCAACTTTGAAATGTCAAATGGCACTACCTTTTTTGTGATGCCTCAAACAATTAAAAGTGCGCATTTTATTACAACAGTTTGATGGATGTCCATCAACATTCCAGCGGAATTTTGCAACAGTTTGATGGTTTCTTCGATTCATGCGCATGATAAAATGTTGGAATGAAAAACGCACCCATTGTTGGCTGTAATTTTGGTACGGCACCAGACTAAATTTAGCGACATTCACCCACGCCATGTTATGTTCATCGAAGTAGGCGAAAATCAAGGAATTGTAAAACGGGAAAGGATTGAAGTGCGTACACCAAGTTGGGGCTCTGGGAAATAAACGATATAAAACAAACAAAAATCGAAATCAATCATTTATTCAAATCATTCTCGGCCTGTTTAACTTCAACATGCTTCCTTTTAACGTGCTTATACAAAGTTCCTTTAGTATTGAACTTCATCTCACACCTGTCACACTCGAACTCCTTGAGATTACTGTGAGTTCTGAGGTGCTCCTCAAAACCACCAGTCATAACTTTTCCGCACACGTTACAAGTGTACTTTTTCACTGTCCCTTCGTGGTATTTCAAGTGAGCGTCCAAATTTTTCTGGGAAGCGAATTTTTTCGCGCACACTGTACAGCTATAGTTTTTTATTCCCCTGTGCTTGTTCACGTGGGCTTCCAAGTATTCCTTACGCATGAAGCCCTTACTGCAAAGGGGGCACAAATACGGCATATTTTTTTCATGGACTTTCATGTGGAAGTTCAGGTTGCTTAGCGTTTTGTAGCTTTTGTTACATTTGGAGCATTTGTGCTTTTTGTCTGTGCTGTGGCTGGTCATGTGACTTTTATAGTCAGAAACTTTGATGAATCCGATGTTACAAATCGAGCAGATAGCTATGAATTTTTTGTCATGTTTTAGCTTCACATGGTTCTTTAGTTTGGTAGCTGAGGCAAATTTTTTGTCACAGTAGTGAAATTTACAATTGTAAGGGAGTGTTCCTGAACAGAAGTTTTCATGTTCTTTCAAATTAGAAGACGTGCGGAATATTTTATCACAAGTTTTGCATTTGAAAGCATCTATTTTAATAGACGGTTTTTTCTTGTGGGTTCTGAGATGGTGAAAAAACTTTTTTTTAGTCAGTGATTTTTTACCACAATGCTCACAAAGGTAACCTTGAATTTTGTGAGTTTGGAGATGGTGTAAACACATCTTTTTCAAGCATATTACCTTCTTGCACAATTTACATTTGTATTTTTGGAAACCAATATGTCTTTTTTTGACTGACTTTTTTTCCTGCAATGGCTTCACTTGAACAATACCATTTTCCTTACAAGTGCTCCCATATTTTGTTAAAAACTCTGCATTAAAATTATCTAATTTCAATTGTAAGTGATCTATACTATTGATAAGCCCTAAGCATTCACTACAAATATAATTTCTTGCTGTGCTGATACTCCCCACAACTTCAGTTATCTTATTGAGTACTGGTTTTTGACTGGACATTGTTAGAGGACTCTCAGAAGTTAAATAGTAAAATTGTGTTCCCAAAGGGGTATAAATTAAATTACAAACAAGACACTTATTCATCTGAAAGTACTGTCTTCTATCAAGGTCCTCACTATAATCAGTTATTTCATCATCAGATTCTTCCACAATGATATCACTTTCTTCATTTGAATCTTCAGTTTGATGGTCAATAGGATTTATAACAGGTGCAAAAGGAATAGTAGTTGAGGTATTGAAGAAATTTACATTTGGAATGAGTGACTGGTTATCCTGATATTTATCACAATAATTGTATGCAAAATAGTCTGTCCAGATATCAGTTTTGTAACCTGATGTACTCTTATAAAAATTGTTTGTGTTTTCTGGAAAATTATTATCTGAGTTATAACTACAGCTTTTCATAGTTACATTTGTGTCTTGTGTTTTCTCAATGCTACAGTACTTTGATGATTTGTCCAGCTGAGCACAAGATGGCAAATCCAAGTTTTTCTCATAGTTATTTGGGATAATTTGACTAGGGCACCATTGGTTTTCATAGTATGGTTCCTTTGAAGTGGATTTGTAGCAGTCTAACATGTTATCGACACTATTACAGTAGGCAGTTGGGCTCAATTCTTTACAACTAGTGACCTCAACCATATCTGCTGGTTTCTCTGCCATTTTCACAACTTTCTGGGCATCTGGAATTATTCTGTTTTCCCAATTCACCATGTCCATCTGGTCTTGGTAAGTGTTGCTCGAAGCGAAATAATTGTTGTGCTGCTGGCTTCGTTCAACATTTTGTGTGGAAATATTGTAAATATCAACAAAATTTGTGGTTGGTGAGAAGGCCATATTTGGAGGTGCTGGATACGAGAAATAGGACTCCACCTCATTTTGTGGAGGCTTGTTATACTGTCCGATGTGTTGATGGCAGTCTGTAAATGTTTTATCCATTTTTCCAATGAACTTTTATCAACAAATTATCACAATTCACAATTTCAAAATTATAGGTTATGTTAACGAAACACTGACATTTCAGAAGCTGTGTAAACATGGCAACCAAAGATAGCAGCCAAAATCGCCGAACATTGCCAAAAACCCAGTGGCGGACAACATGTTTTTTTTTCATGCCTTCAAATACAAAACTGCTGCGATGAGATAGAGTGAAAAAAAATGTAATGTACCCAATGAACTAATTGACGATTTGACCATAGAAACAATCCCTGCAACATCTATTAAAAAAATATCTATATGAATAAATTCAACTCAACACAAGAAAGATATTTTAAGGGTGTATATAAAAAAACTGCTGCGATAAAGGCTTAGGATAGATATCATTCAAACAGACCTGAGTAACGATTTGCCTGTCAAAAAAATCCCCGCAACCCCTATCGAAAATTCCACAATCTACATATAAAAACTTATTTTAAGGGTGTAAATGAGAAACTGCTGCGATGACATAGGATAGAAATCATTCGAACAGATATGAGAAACGATTTGCCTATCGAAAAAATCCCCGCAACCCCTATCGAAGAAAAAAAAATCATATTCAACCCTACACATAAATATTTATATTAAAGGTGTAAATCAAAAACTTCTGCGGGTTGAATATGAAATATTTTTTCTGATGGGGGTTGCGGGGATTTTTTCGATGGCCAAATCGTTCCTCAGGTCTGTTTGAATGAATTCTACCCTATGTCATCGCAGCAGTTTTTCATTTACACCCTCAAAATAATTTTTTTATGTGGGGGGTTGAATTTATTCATATAGGTATTTTTTTTTTGGATAGGTGTTTCTATGGTCAAATTGTCAATTAGTTCATTCGGTATGTTGAATTTTTTTTCACTCTATCTCATCGTAACAGTTCTTTATAAATATATAAGATCTTCAAAATATTGTTTTGTATTTGAAGGCATGAAAAAAAACATTGTGCCCGCCACTGGGTCTTCGACAATGTTCGGATTTTGGCTGCCATTTTCACACAGCTCAGTTCACGGTAAGTGAACGTACTGTTGTGTCAATGGAACATCGGACGTTGTGTCAATAGAACAGCGGACCTAAGTCTAGGTAGAAAAAAAAATGAAGAAGAATAATATGCTGTCAATTGTGTACACGTCAGCTCTCAAGTCACTCAAGTCTTTTAGGTTAGTTTTGTGAACTAAAAAAATGGAAAGAAGTGAGATTTTGAAATGCAAAATAGGCCCTTCTGTTTTGAATGCGGATTTGTCGCAATTGTACATTGAATCCCAAAAATTATTAGACAATGGTGCAGACTATCTACATTTAGACGTCATGGACGGACAATTCGTTCCTAACCTAAGCTTCGGACACCCAGTTGTGAAGTGTTTGAGGACAAAAATTCCTAATGCCTTCTTTGAAACGCACATGATGGTCCAGGACCCCGAAAAAGTGAGTTGCTTCATTCAATCTCCCCTAGTCCTCTCACAATTTCTGAGTTTTAGTGGATAGAACCGATGGCTGATGCTGGTGTTGATCAGTACACTTTTCATATAGAACCCGTTTTAGTCAACGTATTGAAAGTTTGCCGAAAAATCAAGGAAGCCGGCATGAAAGTTGGGATAGCTCTGAAACCTGACACCGGTATAGAAGCTGTAAGGCAATACATTGACCATGCAGACTTGATACTGGTGATGACAGTGGAACCTGGTTTTGGTGGACAAAGTTTTATGGCCAATATGATGCCTAAAGTGCAGTGGCTCAGGAAAAACTACCCTCTACTGGACATTGAAGTGGATGGTGGGGTAGGTTTGAACACAATCAATGCTTGTGCAGAGGTAAGAATCTTTTTACTGTGTTCTTCTTGGCAAAATTTGACTGTTCAATTTTCAGGCAGGAGCAAATATGATTGTGTCAGGTACAGCAATAATAAGTTCAGGTGATCAAAGGGCTGTGATTGCCAGCTTAAGGGAGACTGTGGAGAGTTCAATCCACAAATGTAATGTTTGAGTCTGGTGCCAATGTGATCCATGTTAAGTTTTAAAACAATGAATTGTTGACAAAAAAAATCCTTGGAAGACATTTAAAGAAGTTGTTGCTGTTGATATTTTGAAACTTCTGTTTTTCTAGTGATTCTTTTACAATCAATTTTCTATGTGACTTGTCAGGGTTTTGAATAAGATTGTTAAGTAGGATCATATTTTTTATATTGTGTTTGATATTTGGTTATCTAGTGTTGATATTTCTAATGAATTTGTTAGTTTCACAGGGGTCTAACAAGAAACAAATAAATCAGGGGACTTATATTATATTTTTTGCCTTTCCAATGATGAAAATCTTCATTCAATGGTTTTATTAGTAAGTTTCCTCTAGAACAAAAAAGTAATCTTCAAGTTGTGATTGATATTCTACAAGGAAATTCTTACTTTTAAGATTCAAAACTGTCTTCAGAAAGAATTTTGGATAGGCCCAGTGGGGAAAAAATATAAAAATTCAAATTTTCAGACATATTTACTAGACCAAGAGATACAAAAATAATTAGCTGAAATATTAAAATTTCAGTCAAACCTACTCAGAGGATCAACATCTTTTTTCTCAAATTCCCTTTCTTGCTTCCCTAAATTCCCAATCTCTGGATCCTGTTCATCTGAAACAAAACCACCAATTTCCAGGGGCTTATTTTCTGGATTCAGCTTAGCCCTCAGAACTGCCAGACTCACGAGAATAGCCTCTTCTGTTCTAATGGTCTTTGACCCTTGTTCTGGTAAAGTGTTGAGGTATTGATCAAATAGCAGTTTAGGATCATCTGCTTCCAGAACATGATCATTTTCTAGGGCTGCTTCAAGACCTTGTAAACCCCCAAACATGACTAGCATGTGTTTGAAAGGGGGACAGCTGAATTCATCCACAGAAGTGCCTTTGTCGGATGTTCCCAAAGTTAAATCATACCTACAAAATGGGGCACTTTTTAGTTAATACTACACTTATTCCTGGTGTTATAGAATAAATACCCATTTTTATAAGGACATTGTGAGAAAACTTTTGATAGAGAAGTTGCTATTCTGACTGAGTATCCCCAGTACACACCAGTTTCTTTCCTGGGTGTCTTTGGTGATACAACAAGCCCTTTTAGCTTTTTGGACTGCTCATTTTTTGGCAACAATTTCACTGTACACCTCACTCCAGGTGTCAACAATTTATCAACATGCACTTCTTTTAGAAGGCCTATATTCACAAAGGATCCTTGCCCAGTCTTGGAAGGTTTATTCAATACTACACCCTCCCTGTAAGTTCATGAGAAATCAGGTGATTAAGCTCCTGTTTTTGGACACTGTAGAAACTGACTTACCTGAATTGAAACTCTTCATTTGGTCCTAGATGATGTGGTGCATTCAGTGGATTAAGAATCCCACAATATTTCAAATCATTGTGTATTGGGAAAAAATGTTTCCTCAGATACTGTGGGCATTCCAAGTACTGCAATATCCTCCCCAGTTGGATACAAGATTGGCGGGCTGAAACAGTCCCAGAATCATCTTCAAGAGAGGATTTCTTGGCACTGGCCTCATCCCCATAATCATCAAACACAACTACCTCATCCACTTGGAATATACATGCTGCTCTAGCTATTTGTCCTGCCAAGTAGGTGCGTAGTTCTGGTGACTGTGCATTTTCTAATATGGAACCAGGAACTGCAATCGAGATGGTGGATAGATCAGGGGATTCAGCTAATTCGTTTCCATTGTCGAGGGTAGTAACAGAGGCAGATGTGCTTTGGGTTGTTTCTAGTTGGGTTTTTTCAATTTTCTTCTTCAGCTTGTCTTCTTTCCATTTTTTCTTTTCCTCTTTCCTCGATTTATTCACTTCACTCCAGCTCCTTTTCTTTTTGAGAGGAGAATGAGGAGATAACGTTGGTGTTTCGGTCTCACTTGACATGTTTTTAGTTTTTTTTAGCGATGTGCTTTTCTATTTTGAGGTTATGTTACCCAACGGGGCTGTTCCTGACCGGAAATATAGAGTACTAGATCACATTTCGAAAAAGTACTAGAGTTAGTTTAGTACTGAATTTCAATGTTTCCAAATCTTCCGCTCCCGGGGCTCGCTTGGTTTTAGGCCTATTCGTTTGTGTTTGGTTTACCTACTGAACTCGAATTTTTTTATAACAAATCAACTTTAGCAAGTTCAGCAACACAAACGAACAGACCTTTTAATTCACAAATGCAAACCGCCAAAAACCTAAAAACTGATAGGAGTGGAATAGTTTCACATCTATGGTTTCACCATAATAATATGATCATATTCAGAACTAGATTTCATTAAAAAGTACTTTGGTACTGAACATCTTCGAATAGTACTAAATCTAGTACTAAATTACTGACTGGAACATCCCTGTCTCAGAACGTACAAAAAAGAAGATGAAGAAGACCAACACATCAAGGAAATAGAAGAAGAATAAGTTCAACCTTTTTGAGAAATGTCAAAAACAACCAACACGTTTTTGTGTAAATACCAATAAATAATCTGGAAACCAATCCAAAATGCGTATCGAAACGTGTTATTTTTGTTCCTCAAGAATATACCCTGGCCATGGTATTCAATTCGTAAGAAACGACTGCAAGGTAACACCACCAACCCCTCGGTAAACAAATTTCACAATATTTCATAGCTCCCTGTTTCAGATATTCAAATTTTGCCGATCAAAATGTCACGCGGCATTCAAGAAGAAGAAGAACCCACGCAAAGTGAAATGGACCAAAGCCTACAGAAAGACAGTGGGAAAAGAGCTGACTGTAGACCCTTCATTTGAGTTTGAAAAACGCAGACATCTGCCTATCAGATATGACAGGGAAACCTGGTCGAAGGCCGTGGAGGCCATGAAAAAGGTGGAATCCATAAAAAATAAGAGACAGGGTGCTTACATCATGCAGAGGTTGAGGAAGGGCAGGGAATTGGAACAAGAACGTGATGTCAAAGAGGTGCAAAGGGATCTGTCCCTTATCAGATCACCTGCTGCTGGACTTAAGGAGCGGCAACAAGGGCAGAGTGTTGATGAAGATGTTAAAGAAAGTGATGAGGAGATGGAGGGTGTTATTGAAGATGGTGGGGAAGTTACTCTTTGATGCAGTGCTTGGTGGAGAGACAATTGAAGATAAGAAGGCTGTATTATTGTGTGAACAATTTTGACAAAAATATCTTTGTGAATGTTATTATTTCAATCTCATTTTCAAGGAATTAAATAGTTGAAACTAAATATTGGCTTCAATGATCCTGAAAGTGGATTTTTAAACCCAACTAAGCATTAAAAATTGAATTAAGAATATGAGAATTAGCTGACTTTCTTGATGATTCTAATAAACCAAAACATCAATGTTCCAAAGATGCTAATTTATTGTTGATTCTCAGTTTAGTTAAGTTTATGAATCCACCATTTATTTATAGTATTTGAATTACTGCATTGCTAACAATCATCTGTGAGAGATTCGGGGGTCGTTTCAATTATGAGAAAGTTGCGCAATTCTATGCATACTAACAAAATGTCCTTATGAAATTTGAAAAATTCCGAATACTTTCCAAATATTTTTGGAAAAACGGAATATTTGCGATTTCTTTTATGACTCCATTCGAATAGATGTAACAAAACAAATTATACAATCTCATTGCTATTTTTTAATTTCTACAAGATGGTGTTATCAGATTTTCAAGCCGACGTTTCGTCTTGAGCTGCCATCATCAACTTTGTTTTTTTAAATACGGTCTTGGATTTTTTATCATGGATTTTAAGAGCTTTCAATCTCCAAAAATCAACGGTGTATCGCACTTATTCGAAAAAGGTGTTTGTTTTTAATCCTGTTTTCAAGATCCCAATGATGAGGCTGGACTTCAAGCCACCCTGTACAGTGTACGTTGAATTTTGACAGTTAGTCCATATAGTGACGTTTATATATGATTGTGACCAATGGGAACCTGCGAATTATAGGAAGTTCCTAAATCTTTCGAACCATTTCCATCACGCGATATGTTGAGATTCGTGTTTTTTTATGAATATTTTTCGCAATGAAATTGTGGAGGCTGAGTTTGGCCTGGGCTGACCTGGGAGGATCCCGATTCCCCAGGATCTCGTTAATAAATGTATCACGTAATTCACTGTGACCAATCAGACAATGAGGTTTGGGAATGGTTCGAAAGCTTTAGGCTCTCGTGAATTATATTCCCCTCTCTCTCTCTCTCTCATGTGACAGATCACAGATGTTTGCTTGTTTTGTTTACTTCAAAAAATAAGGTTAGGTTCAAGGTTGAGGTGAGAAGATTTTTCAAATGAAAATGACTAAAGAAACCAGCGAACCGACGGCGTGCTGTGAAAATGTGTCTCAGAAACTGAAAATTCTAGCTATCCACGGCTATCGACAAAATGCAGAAACCTTCAAAGCGAAAACTGGATCTTTTCGAAAAATGGTACATAAATGGGGCCAATTCACTTATATCACTGCTCCCCACAAAGTTATCCAAGTCGATGATCCACAAGATTTAGGAAAAAATGAAGGGCCCGAAATAGGACAAAGTAAAGACGATGGTAAATGATTGTCTTTAGTCGCAAATATACAGAGTGATCTAATGACTGATTCAATTTTTTCAGAACAATATGGTTGGTTCTTCAATAGAGATGATATGACGTTCAGAGGAATAAGAAAGGGTGGGCCAGCTGTAGGTTTTGAAGAAAGTGTCAAACTTGTAGAAGATATTTTTGAAAAAGAAGGACCCTTTGATGGAGTACTTGGTTTCTCTCAGGGTGCTTGTTTTGTAGGACTTCTTTGTGATATGCAACAAAGAGGATGTGAGTAAATTACCTATCTTCTTTGATAGGTTAGTTATTATTCATGTAATACAAGTACTAACTATTTTAGTGACAAAATTTAACTTCAGTTTTGCAATAATGTCATCTGGTTTCAAATCTGGTAGCTTACCCCACTTGAAATATTATGGTGATAGAATAGTCTTACCATCTTTACATATTTTCGGGGAGAGTGATAAAATAATACCAACTGGTAAGTAAATTAATCTACAGCATTTGGACATTGGATGGGCACAGACATTTTTTTTTTTCAGAAATGAGTGAGGCATTGAGCCACTGTTTTGAGGATCCCTCGGTAGTTAAACATCCTGGAGGGCATTACCTGCCAGCAGTAGCTGCCCAAAAACATGATTATCAGAAGTTTTTCAAGTTGATGCTTTTACAAAAGCAGTATAAGGATCAACAGTCTGAAAAACTTTAGTTAAAAACTTGTTCTTTATCAATTTCTGTATGTAAAGTATATTATATGATATCTTGAAATAGATTCGTTGATTGAAATTTTTTATTTCCTTATTTCACAACCCAAATATAGGTCTTTCAAAACATAGGTACAAATTGAGTATGAACTATTCTTTTTATTTTTAGCAGAACTATCCCTTATCAAATTTTTTCAATACAAATCTGAAACACCCTGTATATTAGGTAGTATACTTATCGGATTGAGATACATTTCTGATGTATACATATTTACCCTCGTGGGTATTCAGGAAGGAGCTTACTGAATTAGCATATCACTCTCTAAATTTGGCACACTCACTGTGTAAAAGTGTAATCAGATTTTTTATAGACAGGGTGATTCGATATCAACATTTGCAATCAAACTAATGGTATATGTCGAGGGGTAAATCACGTGGAAAGTTTGTTGTACAGACACGAGGAAGTTAGAAGAAAAAAATTGAGGTGATTTTTTTCCTTCACCACCCCCAGATTCAGCCGCCACTGAATTAATTAATGAAATAATTTTCATTCCATCTTATAGAGCGTAAAAACTTTAGTATCTGTTGAAAATGTTTCTCACATTTTTGGTTTTTTTCATCATCCGGTTTTCCTGGAAATGATATTAACTTTTGATTTTCAAATGGGACACCCTATATTTTTCCATAATCGGTTGAATTCTTTCATATCACGAGAGATTTTTGTAAAAGATATATTTTCAGCCTGTGGTGAATTCTTTCATAATATCTTGGAAGATTTTCTAAAAAAAATCCACCACTCTCCGTGTTCAATTCTTCATCTGGTATTTCGTATACTATACAGGGTGTTTGGTTCACCGACGTATATCTGAAAGGGACTGATAGGTAAGAACATTTCGAATATATTTAACCATATAAAATATTATACAAAGTGTTACGAACTTTGAGATATCTCCGTTTGGTCGAACATTCCATCTGATTGTAATTTCTTCTTTTTCAAGAGTTGGATACGATTTTCATAGATATTGAACAAGTAATGGGATACAAATGTCATGAAAAATTTTTTGGCTTGTCAAAATTTTGAAAACGATTTCTGTAACATACTACTTCGTATTTATTACAGCGATGATTTCTTTAAAAATGTAACACTTTGTATAACAGAAAATATGTTTAAATATTTTCAGAATCACATCACATACCACGTATGTACGTCGGTGAACCAAACACCCTGTATATATTTTTACCCCGTATAATTTCATTATCATCATTTGTCATAGACTCGGTCATAGATGAATCATTTGTTCGGAAATTAATCGGTTAGCAGCATGATTCAGCTTATTAGTCATTCATTCGGGATCAGTGGTTAATCAAGACGACATATTATCATATTAGATGTCACCACGTACGGTCGCATTTTGTGACAGGCATTGAAAAATACGCGAAAGGAATAATTAATAATCATTCCACACAGACTGTCCACCTAAAAATGCGTGATAGTATCGTGTTTTTGTGTTTCTCATTCAAATCTGTGTGGACTATTTTATACAAATTCATTTTGTTTTCACACTGGTGAGTGTTATTTTCATTATTTTATTATTAGTGATATGCTGACACAGAGTCATGGTATAACCCCATTTCTCCTTTCTTTTTCTAGCTATATTCCTGAATTTTACTTGATTTTTTGGGATTTTCTCTCCTCGTTTCTATGAAATAAGAATATGCGTATTATTTCAATATATTTGTATTGGGACAAATCAGATGATTTGCCCCAAAATGTCACTGCGTTTAACAAATTTTTCTATCAGAGAGCCTAAAAGAAAAATCCAGTAGCTTGTCAGTGACAATTTGTATTGAAAAAGGTTTGGAAAAGAGAAATAAAGGTAGGTATATAGAAGAAATATCAAATTTTCACGAAGCTTGGGACGTTTCGTGAACGAATCTGCGCCTGTTTTCAACATAAAAACATAAAAAATGGTTATTTGAATAGCAAATTCGTATCTGTCTTGAAATTTCAAAAATACTTAGTTGTAGGTCCGAGCAGCACAGTGTTTGGGAAGCCGACTGAGGAAACTTCTATTCGGAAACAAAACTTATATGTTGCAATCCAATTACGCACGTTGCAAAAATATTCAGGTGAGTTCCTAATTCAACATCCATGTACATCATCTAATAATGATCATTTTTGATTCATATGATTTGATATTTGATATGTGATGTGCAGTTGCAGATCCGAGAAGCACAGTGTTCGATATTTGACACAAAATCCGAGAAAACCATCCAGTCAAGCCGAACCGAAGGAACGATCCACAAAGAAAAATGACCAGAGTATACTTCTTTAAATTCAGATCACCATGTTCGTACGGAAGGCGATATATTGATTTTTTTTTCAGATTCTCAAGCAAACAGATAGACAGATATTCACCTTTATGTCTCTATGGAAACACGACAGGTACCCTTACGAGGGGAGAGTACCAACTTTTCGTTCATAAACCCTCTCTGCAAAGGAGGTAGACGGTAGATGGGTTAGGTATATACAGTGTTTTTCATCGCAGAGAAAATTGTTGCTTATCTGCCTGTCTCGTATTCATTGAGATAGTTGATTCATTAATAAATTATTACTAAAATATATCGCATTCCAGTTACGAATGTTGAAAACAGTATCCAGACTCTTTATTCTATGTTCTTCTCACGATACAAATTTCAAATTAATACTTAGTTTTAGGTCCGAGCAGCACAGAGTGTCTGGGATTCCAGGTCTTTATTATGAATCACGTTAAGTGGAAATGTGGATGAAGCCTACTGAGGAAACTTCTGTTCGGAAACAAAACTTATATGTTGCAATCCAACTACGAACGTTGCAAAGAATATTCAGGTAAGTTTCTAATTCAACATCCATTAACCGCATCCAATAATAATCATTTTTGATTCATATGATTCGATATTTGATATGTGATGTTTAGTTGCAGATCCGAGAAGCACAGTGTTCGATATTTGACACAAAATCCGAGAAAACCATCCAGTCAAGCCGAACCGAAGGAACGATCCACAAAGAAAAATGACCAGAGTATACTTCTTTAAATTCAGATCACCATGCTCGTACGGAAGGCGATATATTGATTTTTTTTTCAGATTCTCAAGCAAACAGATAGACAGATATTCACCTTTATGTCTCTATGGAAACACGACAGGTACCCTTACGAGGGGAGAGTACCAACTTTTCGTTCATAAACCCTCTCTGCAAAGGAGGTAGACGGTAGATGGGTTAGGTATATACAGTGTTTTTCATCGCAGAGAAAATTGTTGCTTATCTGCCTGTCTCGTATTCATTGAGATAGTTGATTCATTAATAAATTATTACAAAAATATATCGCATTCCAGTTACGAATGTTGAAAACAGTATCCAGACTCTTTATTCTATGTTCTTCTCACGATACAAATTTCAAATTAATACTTAGTTTTAGGTCCGAGCAGCACAGTGTCTGGGATTCCAGGTCTTTATTATAAATCACGTTAAGTGGAAATGTGGATGAAGCCTCTACTGAGGAAACTTCTATTCGGAAACAAAACTTATATGTTGCAATCCAACTACGAACGTTGCAAAGAATATTCAGGTAAGTTTCTAATTCAACATCCATGAACCGCATTCAATAATAATCATTTTTGATTCATATGATTCGATATTTGATATGTGATGTTAAGTTGCAGATCCGAGAAGCACAGTGTTTGATACTTGACACAAAATCCGAGAAAACCATCCAGTCAAGCCGAACCTAAGAAATGGTCCACAAAGATTTATCTCAGACCGTTTCGAACTTTTCATCAAAAAACAATATTCAGATTCGTTCAGACTCGTATTTTCAACACCCTATATCTCGAAAACGACGCGTATAAAAGTATTTCATTATCTCAACGAGTACAACACACTGTTGAATTTTTTGTATTACAAACCGGACTACCCTGTATATACCTACCGAGATACCTACCTACCATAGGAAAAGGAACAAATTTTGAATCGATAAATATTGAATTGCTTATACTTGGTTCGTGAAGTCTGAAACGTTTCGAGAAGTTTAGGAAGTTCGATGAAGTTTGGGAAGTTCGAGGAAGTTTGGGAAGTTCGAGGAAGTTTAGGAAGTTCGGGGAAATTTGAGTAAGTTCGGGTAAGTTTGAGGAAGTTCGAGGAAGTTTGAGGAAGTTTGGGAAGTTTTGATCCATGGGAAGTTTGATGTACAATTTTTTTCGCCGTGATTTACCCCTCAGTTGTTAATGGTTCAAAAGTTATACAAATTTTCTGAAAAAATCGGAAATGTGACAAAGAGTTTTATTATAATTATTTTTTTTCATGGTAATTAAAAAAAAATAATAACTTGACTTTTGAATCATCAACAATGGGCAATAGTGGACTGATAATGCACTATTGGCATTCAATTATCCCACTATATGTCGTTAGGAACTCAAAATTAATTTTTGCAACCATTTGGCGATACGTCGAATAAATATGGTGACATCAGTTTTTATGCTGTTTCGTTATTGGTCAGATGATCTTCCATTTCCACTCATGAAGCAAGGTTGTCAAGCCACCAATTATAATCAAGTAAGCAAAAAGATGTTGGAGTCCTGTCGTTGAATAAAACATAATAGGAGGAACCCATGATGTTTTACATCATTCTTGACTTTTTCGATCAACTAGCATGTCCAAATGTTTCTAATTCTCCATAAGATATCATGTGAATGTTGGAGACTTGGCAACATTGTGCTGAATGCTGAGAACAGACAAGACCACGCCCACAAGTCATGCGCCGTGGTTGTCACGTTCACCGATTAAAATGTCCTCTATTGTGAATTAATAGTATATTATGTGACAAGTGTTATAAACGTCCTTTTAGTAACGAGTAGTTTAAGCACGAGCGGAGCAGAGCGGAGCGAGTGTTTAATAAACGAGTGCCTAGAAGAGTTTATAAACGCGTTACATACTATGATTTTTCTACGAACATCGATAATTGCATTAACATACCTGCAATTCCTGCTAACCTACAAAATAATTCGGACGGAATGGAAATGGAGAACATAATAGGTACTTGCAACTGCATGCAACCAGCGAGACACATTTAAGTGATATTGGTTGTAGATGTGTCCAGTCCATTGCTTACTAACCTTTGTTTCGTCATGGTTAGCGCAGAATAAATAAATTGTTCTCAAAGATGAATGCTTCATTTTTACACTTCTTGGGGATATGCAAGTACCAGAACATATTCTCTTCGATTCCACTTTCGTCTACTTTTCGCATATATTTTTAATGAAGAATTCTGATACGAATATTGTTTGAAATTCTGATACAAAATTTAAAAATGACAGTGACAGTTAATACAATTGACAGGCAGACATGTCTCAAATTGCTGAAGCTGTGTTTAATGAACTGCGTTGCCATGGTAATGTGTTTAAGAAATCGTGTTGCCATGTTGGTAACGTGTTTAATATTTTGAATAAATCACAGATCGACAATCCGTGATTAATCGATCATTTAGCGTGGTAAATATCCGTACGCTAAATGCCATTTTAGTTATGTGAGTAGAAAAATATAATTATTATTTACACAAATTTATTATAAAAGCAATAAGCCACAAATTATAAGGGAACATTTCGAGATAATAGGATTTTTAATGCTAATTAGGAATTTTACCAATACTCAATTGATATTTCTGAATAGGACAGGACGAAATTCATACAGGCTCTACTCCACCAAAACTATACTTTATTGTAAGCAAACTTACGGGGACATGTTTCGAAGCTTTGAAGCTTCATTATCAGCGTTTTTGTTACATAGGAGCACTGAAGTGAGAGAAAAACAAAGAACAATGTCAGACAAATCCCTCAACAACGATAGGTCTAAATAACTCACCTGTTCTGGAGGAAAAAACGTTATGTTCACATATTTGACAAAATTATTGAAAAACTAATACATGATCATAAAGCTAAATGGGGGCCGCAATTATTGCGGAACCCCTTTGTTAGGAAACTTTGAATTACATAATTATAATAGGTACGATTCAGATCAAAATTGAAAGTCTTATCTGTTCATGTCGAACTTTAAAAAGACAAGAAAACGGAAAAATGAGATGTCAAAAATCAAACGAATGGCATGACTTTGACATGAAGTGACAGAGGTGACAGGTCAAATAGACTAGAGATGGGGGAGAGTATAATGATATCGAGATGGGAGCAATAACAAATTTATGGTTCATGAAACTTCCTTCAGGTCAACTTTAGGTATGGAATCAGTCCTATCAGATGGAGATGAAGAATTTTTATTTTTAAGTTTTGATAAATGTAAGACAGTTGAAAAGCTACATGTCATTTTTTCGGGATTCTTAAAGGCCTTAAGAATGTCGAACGTTCCAAGTACGTTCAGTTTTTTACTTTTTTGACAAAAGTGTGAGAATTTATATAAGGTTCAAATTTGGATCGAAGGAATGTTTTTCATTGACTATGTGATTATGGAATACAGAATTGGTGTTGATGAAATCATTTTCAAAATTAATATCCATTATTGATGATTTCAGCACCTAGAAATGGACCAAAAAATTCTTCAAAATAATGAAATTGGACGGTATTTGAGTGATGATTCTATTTAGATCATAATTGACCCCCTCCCCTTTTCCTCCATCAAATCAAATTCAAAATACGAAGTGTGATAAATCGTTGGAACGGTGATTTTGAGAAGAAATGAAAAATTGCAAAAAATTTACAGGGTGCTATTTGAAATGAATGTTTTCCTCAGTTGAAGCTTCCTGGAACGAATTGGAGATCATGAAATTTTCGAATTTTTATTTCTGGGAATAGCTGCGAGCTAATTCATTGGAACAGGTATACTAGGACACCCGGTATATAGCTGAAAGAAATACTCTTACTTAATACTGTTGTTCTTTTTTCTGGGTTTTTATATAAATATATACCATCTGATGTATAGTTGTGAGCTGTTTTTGCTAATATATATTATTTTAATGTTACGGTACAAAATCGTTTTTTCTGAAAAAAATAATCATACACAATGCAATTCTCGTGAAATTTTCATTGTGTCGAAGGTTTTTGCGTCCTTTATTCTCGATATCAAATACTAACCCACCCTGTATATGAATTGTGTTTTACCGTCGAATCTAAGCCTAGAGATTACTTAGCAAAAAAATTATAATTATGGGCCTGAGACGCTGTTGAATGGCCTATAAATTGTTCTTATGTTAACGATTATTATTTTATCTATTGTTTTTGTTTGTTTTGCATTGAAAAACCGATAAGAGACGAGACCTAAATTAACAGTTTTTTTTCCTCTACTGCCGGGTACTGTTAAACGAAATGAATTAGTAGCAATAAGAAATTCTGTCAGTGTTATTGTTACTTGTAAATATGTAAAAATTATAATTGATCGTGAGTTTATTTTAATCGCATGCATTTCAATGATATTTAAATTTAGAATAATCGTTTGTGTTTACTTCAAACTTTAGTGTTGTTCGAGGTAATATATAAAATTATATTTTCAGTATGTGTGGTAGAATACTCATACTTAAACATATATTCTAACAGTGATTCAAATCATAATGTACCTACATAAATTAGAATATTTGAACATCAACCATCAATAGCTCTAAAAAAAGGTTTGGGATATATTACCTTTTCCTATTTGATTGTTCTTTCAGCTAAATCCTAGCCTAAAATGGCCAAATATTGCTATCTCAGTCACTTAACAATATCACTGTTGAACTATGGAACATACTGTTGATGATTTCACCTATTTTGGAATGATATATGACATATGACTGAGCAAAACATTTAGTCACTATTTGTTTCATAGACCTATGATTTGTTTCGATTTGCTGATTGAAAGCGTATACAGGGTGGCCACGCAAGAACCGGGGACTGTGTGTGTTACTTTCTAGTGGTTCCCTCCGTGTTTATTTTACATTTTCAGACTCAGAATAAGTCAAACATGAATTCAAAATGAATCTGATTATTATAGTCAAATAATATTGGTGACTGGAAGCAGCGAGCCTCATTGATTGGGATCTAGTAACCCAAGAGATACATACAGGGTGAGTCATGAGAAACTGTACCACGAATAGAGGCCTCTGAGGGAAATTACTAATGTCCATCAGAAAGTTTCCTCTTCACTTCTTTTCCAATATACAGTGTCATTCATAAAGTCGGCATCAAATGGGAAAAACTTTTATTAAGGACTTATTTTGGAATTCGAGTTGGACGTTGAGTTTTGCTTCAAAAAAGATGAAAAATGGCCTACTCAATCAGGGTCACGTGACTTTCGTTACATGTTAAAAGTGACATTTTTTCAAATTAACCGCTGAAAGTAGGCTTATTTGTTCGAATATCGAAAAAGTTTACTTGAAAAAGTTGTTTCTATTTCAATTTATTTACACATGCTTCTCGAATTTAACAGATGATTTGTCGCAGTAATAGTTTTGTGTTGATAACAACGGAGTTATCGTCATTTATACAAAAACAAAAAATTATTTGGAAGCCGCCATCTTGAATTTATAAATTTCAACCGAAAAATCATGATCTTCGACCTCAAAAACCCCCACTTAACAATTTTGAACGGAATCGGACCAAATCTTGTCCGCCATCTTGGAGCAGCCATTTTTTTTAATTTCAACAAAAATTCCATAATATATTGTCACCGAAATTATGAACACCTGCCAAATTTCAGGTTGATCGGAATTATGGAATTTTTGAATTGAAATTAAAAAAAATGGCTGCTCCAAGATGGCGGACAAGATTTGGTCCGATTCCATTCAAAATTGGTGAGTGGGGGTTTTTGAGGTCGGAGATCATGATTTTTTTAGTTAAAATTTATGAATTCAAGATGGCGGTTTCCACATAATTTTTTGTTTTTGTATAAATGACGATAACTCCGTTGTTATCAACACAAAACTATTACTGCGACATATCATCTGTAAGAGAAGAAGAAGTTATTTGTAACTAAGTCATAGTGAGCTATGACCTACATTTGAAAAACTAAAGTTGGTGCTGATATCTCAAATTCTAGAAGAGTTGGTATACATTTCATATTTTTTTCGAAATCACTATGAAAAACTGCCATGAGAATGTGAAATTCCTATTTGAATATTTTCATAAATAAAAAAGTTACGGAGGAGACATGAAAATGATCAAAATGGTGTCATTAAACCGACCTCGTATCTCTCACCGGTAAAAAGATACCCATGGTGAGCATGGTAAGTGGGACACACTGTTATAGGTATTCCCCTCAAGGGCCTGTATTCGTGGTAGGAGTATGTACAGTTCCTCGCATGACTCACCCTGTATAGCTCACAAAAAAAATGAAAAAGGATTCTTAGAAACCGTCTTTTTTTTTCAGATAATTCCGATAATTCCAAACCGGAATTTTGTTAGGCATAAAATTACGAAACTTTGTCAAAATTCAACCGACCGTCTTATGATTCACGAGAACCGAATGATGAGTGCATAAAAAAAAATCGAAAAAAATATCGAATATTTTTTCTAGCGGCATTGAAAATTTCCGAAAATGGATACAGTGCAGGCGAAAATATTCTCGATAGCGACCTTGGGCGTTTCTAGCATCATAGTGGGCGTTCTGCCGAACTGCTTCGCCAACCAAGGCCGCAGACAATGGCCCTTATTCCTGTCCTGTCTGCTTTGTTTCGGTGGAGGCGTTCTTCTCTCCACTGCCCTCATCCATATCCTCCCGGAACTACGGGACAGTGTCCCGGAGGAGTACAGACAGTACACTGAGGTCAGTATAAAATTGATGAAATTGTTTTTGGATGTATGGCAAATTGACAGTTTCTTTCGATGTTCTTCTTTATCACAGTTGATCGTTGATTTTTATTCCCTACCCTTATTTAAGTCCATAGTATTTATGAATTACAAGTGATATGCTTTCTGGATTACAAATTACGCTTTATGAATTACAATCAATTGACTATTCTGAATTACAAGTAACACTTTCTGAATTACCTACATTTCACTAATCTGAATTACATGTAATGCATTCTGAGTTACAATTGACTGATTTGAATCACAACCCAGCGAGCACAAAAACATCTCAGAGATGTTGAAAGTACGAGATTTCGAGACATTGAACCTCCACTGCGATGTTCTGTTCACACATGAATAGAACTATTATAGAACAGCCAATGTCCGCCGCAGGCGGCAATTATCGAGATGTCCTTGATATGTCACAAAACTACCTTCTCCCTAGTTCTTTTTAAAGCCTTTTCATGGACACAACAAAACATTTTCAACGCGTCTTGCGCACATTAAATCGCTGTAAAAAAAACATTTTCTAGGTACTTTTCCGAAGTCTTTTGTCAAAATGAACTTTTGCATTAGGATTCCATTTCCCTTGAATGAAAAAATGCATTAAAAATAGATTGAACATAAAAATATTTTCTTGATATGAAATTACCTTCATAATCGGTTTCTGAGTAGTGCTTACTACATACAGACATATAATTGGAAATAGGTTTCCCAATTTTTGAAATGTTCTCCACAATGCATAATTTTGCAACTGCGGAGAAGCTGTGTATTGATAATTTCGTACTTTTATATATTGACTACACTGAGGCACCGAACAACACATCTTGCATCTGATGGTCATTATGACAAACTAAATAAGTCTTCTAACACAATAAACTTCACCAAATTCCGTTCTGTTCGTTAGCAGCGTGATGTAATCGTGACACGCTGCAAACGCGAATGCCAATTGCGAAGAAGAAGAAAAAAATCGAAAACAAATCAGAATTCATCGTATTGTGACGTAAGCATGAGACGTTGTGGTGGGGCAAACAAGGAAAGGGCACAAAAGAACAAAAACAATACTTTCAATATCCTTCTAAGACCTCTTTGGGACGTTGTGGTGGGGCAAACAAAGAAAGGGCACAAAGGAACAAAAACAATACTTCAATATCATTCAAAGACCTCTTTGGTCAGTGCATATTACGTCTCAAAATAACATCTTCATGCCAACATTTTCAAGCTTCAAGACATATTATACGACTTCGCAATTGAAAAAATCTCTTCATGTTGAAAACGGGAGCAGAATCGGTCCCGAAACGTCCAAAGATAAGTGAAAATTTGATATTTTTTCTATATACCTTTATTTCTCTTCTCCAAAAATTTTTCAATACAAATTGTCACTGATAAGCTAGTGAATTTTTCTTTTAGGCTCTCTGATAGGAAAATTCTTTAAACGCAGTGACATTTTGGGGCAAATCATCTGATTTGTCCTAACTACACGTATATTGAAATAATATCCATATTTTTATTTTATAGAAACGAGGAGAGAAAATCCCAAAAAAATTTGGAATAATGAATATACTACCTCCTCGATTAACCTATACAGACAGTATTTAACAGTAATTATGACCAAATTGATACTAAAACAGTTAGTTGGAAAAGTTTGGATCACAAGTACAGAAGACAACAAACTTCACTGTCACAATAAGAACGGATTGAAATAACATGAGAAGTACTCACTTGATTGTTACTTTTTTAAATTGGAAGAGTCCAAAAAAAGTAGGTACAAAGAAGTAATATGAATGTTCAATGAAGGAGAATATTGAATGAAAGAAGAAAAATGCACTGGCGTATCTTTTCTGATATTCACTAGAAGCGACCTACGAGCCACATGGAAATAATTCAAATGCATCGAAAGTATTCTAGAACTCTATTTGTCTACTATGAAATACGCATAAAAAAGTTATGACTTTTCAAAAGACTCAAAATTAAGACATGTAGGTGCGGTGCCACTCCACGAAAGAGACAAACTAACATGAAATTTGATATTGTCATTGAAAAATACCCCTAGATACCAAATTGCATTCCAATATCACAATTATTTTGGAATTTATTTACAAAAAACAAAAATATGAATTCAACTTTGACACTCTCTGTATCTCAGAAACGGATAACTTTCGGACATATATTCATACGAACCTTTCTTCTTATTTTGACGTCAGCAACATGCTCCTAAATTTTCTACACGTACTTAATAAACACCCTGTATATGCACATAAAATCATCCTGAATATTCAACAGAAAACAACTACTTACTTTGGCTATTTACCATGTCGAACATTGAATTATCTGTTGAACATCCAAAAAGAGAGCATGAAAAATAAATATCCTCTGAAATTGAGAAAACAACTACTTTCATGGCTCTACGCCACGCAGAACATTGGATTGGATAATAAATTCTTGTATTTCAAGATGGTGTTCTGCGCTGGATTCTTCCTCCTGTATATGCTCGATGAAATAGTGCATTATTTCTACGGGGATTCCCACGAAGCTGCCATCTTACACCACAATCACGGAAATGGGAACAACAACGAAAGGAGGCATTCGATAACGTCCAAGTACAGTTACGGAGCTACCGAAAGAAGAGCCCTTCTCAAGGGCACAAACAGGTGAGCAAAATAGAAATGGTTATTTGTGGATTTTTATTTTAATGAAACCGATGAGACATTTCAAAGTTCGGATATACAGTGTGTCCCACTTACCATGCTCACCATGGGTATCTTTTTAACGGTGAGAGATACGAGGTCGGTTGAATGACACCAAATGTGGAGTTTATCAAGGCCAACTATAATGTGAAAAAATATTTTGATAAAATCTATTCGTTTTTATTTTATACGCAAAAAACAGATTTTGATCATTTTCATGTCTCCTCCGTAACTTCCTTATTCATGAAAATATTCAAATAGGAATTTCACATTCTCATGGCAGTTTTTCAAAGTGATTTCGAAAAAAATATGAAATTTATACCAACTCTTCTAGAATTCGAGATATCAGCACCAACTTTAGATTTTCAAATGTAGGTCATAGCTCACTATGACTTAGTTACAAATAACTCTTTTTTTCTCTCACAGATGGTATGTCGCAGTTATAGTTTTGTGTTGATAACAACGGAGTTATCGTCATTTATACAAAAACAAAAAACTATTTGGAAGCCGCCATCTTGAATTTATAAATTTCAACAAAAAATTATGATCTCCGACCTCAAAAACCCCCACTTACCAATTTTGAATGGAATCGAACCAAATCTTGTCCGCCATCTTGGAGCAGCCATTTTTTAAAATTTCAACAAAAATTCCATAATGTATTGTCACCGAAATTATGAACACCTGCCAAATTTCAAGTTAATCGGAGTAATGGAATTTTTGTTGAAATTAAAAAAAATGGCTGCTCCAAGATGGCGAACAAGATTCGCCGATTCCATTCAAAATTGGTAAGTGGGGGTTTTTGAGGTCGGAGATCATAATTTTTTTGTTAAAATTTATAAATTCAAGATGGCGGCTTCCGAATAATTAAAATAAATAAAGAAGTTACGGAGGAGACATGAAAATGATCAAAATCTGTTTTTTGCGTATAAAACAAAAACGAATAGATTTTATCAAAATATTTTTACACATTATAGTTGGCCTTGACAAACTCCACATTTGGTGTCAATTAACCGATCTCGTATCTCTCACCGTTAAAAAGATACCCATGGTGAGCATGGTAAGTGGGACACACTGTATTAGTAATACTTCTTGCGTCCTATTTTGAAAAAATAAATTACCCAAACTGATCGCCCTATAACATTTTTAGTTCTTGTTTGATTGATTGTGAAATTTTGACCAAATCCTGAATTGACGTTTCACAATATGTTAGCCTCAATTTTATTTATATGTTTTTTGTCCAATCATGGAGCATATTTCCTTATTGCCCTGTTTATCAACTATACTATTTGTATTTCCACTTTCTTCATTTCCATGACTATGATACTTTCTGGAGAGTTCCGAACTTCTTTTATGAAAATTCATCGGAAGGAACTCACGGCGCAGGCAGGTCAATGCTGTCAATGAAGATCTTGCTGAAATCACAGCCTGGGGAACGAACAACCTAGTTGAATTCAACGCCAACAAAACTCAAGCCTGCATTTTCTCTAGAAAGGCGGAACTCAGTATGCCCGATATTGTAATGTCTGGCTCCACCATCCCCACCAAGCCCACCATATCTATGCTCGGTATTTCCATCAGCAACACTCTTTCATGGGATAATCATGTCAGATCCATCGCAAAAGCTGCTTCACAAAAACTCGGATTCTTGTTCCGTGCGAAAAGCTACTTTACACCTCAACAGCTTCTCATGATCTACAAAGCACAGATACGGCTTGTTCTAGAATACTGTTCCCACATATGGGGTTCAGCACCAAAACATACGCTGATGCTCTTACATTCCATCCAGAGAAGAGCCATTCGCCTGGTGGGTGACGCCACACTCACTCACTCTTTGACATCGTTGGAACACCGTAGAAAGGTCGGCGACCTTTCACTTTTCTATAGATACTTCCACGGGAAATGTGCATCGGAAATCTCTGCTATCATCTCTTCACTAGTAATACCAATCAGACGAACTAGACAAGCCCAGTCAGCACATCCTTTCGTTGTCAACCTCGAAAGATGTCGAACAGCACTTTATCAAGACTCTTTCATCCATAGAACGGCTAGGCTCTGGAATTCATTGCCTGTGGAAGTATTCCCAACAACATATAATCTCCAAAAATTCAAAAAAAATTCCAATACCTACCTCCTGTCCCTATCCTCCATAGGAACGCACGATGTTCTTTGAACATTATAGGGATTCCCTTTCGTGCGCTCCAATCGATAAAAAAAACTTCCCCATTGTGAAATATGACCTGTTAGAATTAGTCCATCGATATTGGATGATCAACCCTTTTTTTGTTGAAGTCGCAATCCTGTCGACCACCCTCCGCCCTACAACCCCTCCATATACAGGGCGCGCAGCGACAGCGTCCTGTTCGGCGAGGAGGCGCCCTCCCAGCTGTGTCACGTGGGCCATCAGGAGCCCTGCCACGCTGCGCCCACCTCCAACATAGGGCTGTTGGCGGCCCTTTCGGTGCACTCCCTGCTCGAAGGGATGGTGGTGGGGTTGGAGTCACGCTCTGATAAGGTTTGTGGATTTTTTATATAGGGCAGACAAGGAGATTTTTATGTGCTAGGATCAAGGAACATCTTCAGCAATATCTGATTTTTCCGAAAACTAATGAAGATATTTGAAACTTCTGATGCAGAGTGAAATTAACACACTTTGATGCATAGATGCAGTTTTCAACATATACAGGGTGAGTCAAAAATGTGTACCGAGCTTTCTGGAGGTGATGAAACATTGAAAAATGGGTATAGTTTGATGAATAAACTAATGTCTTAAAATGTCTACTGAGGAAGATATATTCTTACGAAGTTGATAAAATTGAAATAATTTTCCCGCATAACTTCTGAACGGTAAAAGCCACCAGATTCAATTTTCCTGCATACATTTATGTTGATGAAATACGTTTTTCTGAAACACTTTTATAGAGGGTATGTCATGATTTTCTGAAGACACTATTTTTCCTCGTATCCTGTTTGGTAAAAAAATGAAAGCATTTGATAGAGCGTAGAAAAATACCTGAAAAAGGCATAGTCTAGTCAAAATACAAAAACCGTAACCGTTTTCGAGATATTTGAGTTTTTGTAGTAACATATTAGCAGATAAATTCATGAGTTATCATCGAAGCCTCGTCGTACTTCTTGGTCGGACACCATTTCTGTTTTTCAGTTCAAAAATCATTTTGCACTGTGCTATCGCCTCCAGAAAGTTCGGTACACATTTTTGACTCATCCTGTGTAGGGCAAACAAAAAGAATTTTATGTGCTAGGATCAAGGAACATCTTCAGCAATATCCGATATCTCCGAAAACATATGAAGATATTTGGAATATTTGATGTATTTGTTGAATGGGAGTTCTCATTGGTGTGTCTTGTATACAGCGTGTCTCACTTTAAACGGCCCCCCCCCCCCTCTATATCTCAGCTATTAGTCATGCTATTATCACCAAATTTGCAACGGTATGAATAACCATTAATATAATCAGTTTTTCAGAGACGAACATAATTTTGGACAGTGTCGTGCGTTTTTATTAAAATGGAGAGGGGTATTTTTTTTTTAAACTCATATTATGAAATCTTTCACAGGAAAAATGACTTCTTCATAATATTGTTCTTCATGGTTTCAAACCACCATAAGTCGATTTTCATATTATTTCTATGAAGGGTTACAACAAAACAGGTACATCTAAATAGCATTTTTGCGAACGTAAATAATTATTTACTCGGAACGGTGGGTTCAAGGAGAGAAAAATCTATTTGTAATTACTTTCAAACCATCATTTTCTACCTGCTGGAGCTATTGAACGTTTCACTATTTGCATGTACAGGACAAACGAGAAGATTCATAGGTACTAGGATCAAGGAACATCTACAGCAGTATCTGATATATCTAGAAACTAATTGGAATTTTCGAAATATCTGATGTTTTATTGTATGGAAATTATTTCTCATTGTTATTGTCAAGTTTTTTTTTCATTGATGCCTCTTTCTAGTAGAGAAACTAACACACTTAGACACATGGCTGCACTGTTCAACATGATATATAGGACAAACAAGAAAATTCATATGTATTAGGTTCAAGGAACATCATCAGCGTCAGAATGGATCCAGCACAAAACCTGATAAAAAAATTATTCAGCGGTTACAATATCCCATATCTCGGTGGTCGGTATCTAATGGAGATGTTTGAAATGTTGGATGAATTCATTCAATGGGAATTGTCTCATTGATATTGTGAAGTTTTTTTCATTGGTGCATGTAGCAAAGAAACCTACATACTCAAATACATAGCTGCAGTTTTCAACATGATACAAACATCTTCAACATTATCTGATATATCTAGATATATAGAGATGTTTGAAATATTTGATGTTTTATTGCCAAGTTTTTTTTTCATTGATGCTTCTTTCTAGTGGAGAAACTAACACACTTAGACACATAGCTGCACTTTTCAACATGATATATAGGACAAACAAGGAGATTCATATGTACTAGCTTTAAGGAACATCTTCAGTATCAGAAAACCTGATAAAGAAATTATTCATTTAAAGAATATATACAAACAATTATAAGGGACATGAATACATATCTAGGTCAAACCTGGAGATGTATCGTGACTAGATTTACGGAATATCTTGCACAATCATAGTATATTGTAGATTAGACATTGAAAATTTGGAATTCATCCAAACAATTTCGAAACAGATGAAGATGAGACTTCTTCAACTGTAATTTTTATTTTCTCAGGTTTTGCTGCTGTTGGGAGCTATAGCTTCCCACAAACTTGTGGTGTCTTTTTGCCTGGGCATGGAATTAGCTTCGAATCCATCATACACCTGCAGAAGACACTTTGTATATATTTTGATATTCTCGTTAGGATCCGTCGGTGGAATAGTAGGAGGAATGTTTGTCACGAATATTTCCAATGGTATCAAAACACTTTTGATACCTTGCTTACAGGTGAGGAAAAATTGTCGATTGTTGAAAAAATATGAGAATTTTTGTTTTTCTTCAAGGGTTTGGCTGGTGGAACTCTATTATATGTAACTGTGAGTGAAGTTGTCCCAAGAGAAAGAGCAAGATGGCACAAAGACCACGAGAAACGGAGTGCCGGAATAATTCAATTCATTTCCGTGGTGGTCGGTTTTGTTATGATGACAGTTCTAAGCAAATACTTAGGTGAGTTCCTTATATAACAGCGTGAATTTCATATTTTCCTGTGTTTTCCGCCTCGTTCGATGTTTTGGCGCCCAATGTAGGGCATAATCAAACCACCGCTGGTCAGTAGACTTGATAGTTGTATCAATAAAAATCTAAATAACAAGTTGAATGGCATGACAACTAATAACCAAGATACCGACACCAATCACTACAAGCTATTTTGATAGGCGAAGCGTATTCAATATTGAATTGAGAAAAGAACAAGCAATCCGAGGCCGGTACTCTTCCTATTCTGACTTCTCGTTAAATAACTACTCGACTCATCTTCTTCTGTTCGTATTCATTTATATTCCTGGAAGTATCAATTTCGTCCTTTTCTCTCCTAGACTAAACATGGAAAATCATCTGAATTTCATATTTTCCTCTTTTCCGCCTCGTTCGATATTTTGGCGCCCAATGTAGGGCATAATCAAACCACCGCTGGTGAGCAGACTTGATAGTTGTATCAATAAAAATCGAAATACCAAGTTGAATGGCATGACAACTATTAAACAAGATACCAACACCAATCACTACAAGCGTACAAGCAATCCGAAGCCGGTACTCTTCCTATTCTGACTTCTCGTTAAATAACTACTCGACTCATGTTTTTCTGTTAGTATTCATTTATATTCCTGGAAGTATCAATTGCGTCATTTTCTCTCCTAGACTAAACATGGAAAAGCATCTGAATTTCATATTTCCCTCTTTTCCGCCTCGTTCGATGTTTTGGCGCCCAATGTAGGGCATAATCAAACCACCGCTGGTGAGCAGACTTGATAGTTGTATCAATAAAAATCTAAATAACAAGTTGAATGGCATGACAACTATCAAATAAGATACCAACACCAATCACTACAAGCGTACAAGCTATTTTGATAGGCGAAGTGCATTCAAAATTGAATTGAGAAAAGAACAAGCAATCCGAGGCCGGTACTCTTCCTATTCTGACTTCTCGTTAAATAACTACTCGACTCATCTTCTTCTGTTCGTATTCATTTATATTCCTGGAAGTATCAATTGCGTCATTTTCTCTCCTAGACTAAACATGGAAAATCATCTGAATTTCATATTTTCCTCTTTTCCGCCTCGTTCGATGTTTTGGCGCCCAATGTAGGGCATAATCAAACCACCGCTGGTCAGCAGACTTGATAGTTGTATCAATAAAAATCTAAATAACAAGTTGAATGGCATGACAACTAATAAACAAGATACCAACACCAATCACTACAAGCGTACAAGCTATTTTGATAGGCGAAGCGTATTCAATATTGAATTGAGAAAAGAACAAGCAATCCGAGGCCGGTACTCTTCCTATTCTGACTTCTCGTTAAATAACTACTCGACTCATCTTTTTCTGTTCGTATTCATTTATATTCCTGGAAGTATCAATTGCGTCCTTTTCTCTCCTAGACTAAACATGAAAAATCATCTGAATTTCATATTTTCCTCTTTTCCGCCTCGTTCGATGTTTTGGCGCCCAATGTAGGGCATAATCAAACCACCGCTGGTGAGCAGACTTGATAGTTGTATCAATAAAAATCTAAATAACAAGTTGAATGGCATGACAACTAATAAACAAGAAACCAACAACAATCACTACAAGCGTACAAGCTATTTTGATAGGCGAAGCGTATTCAAAATTGAATTGAGAAAAGAACAAGCAATCCGAGGCCGGTACTCTTCCTATTCTGACTTCTCGTTAAATAACTACTCGACTCATCTTTTTCTGTTAGTATTCATTTATATTCCTGGAAGTATCAATTGCGTCCTTTTCTCTCCTAGACTAAACATGGAAAATCATCTGAATTTCATATTTTCCTCTTTTCCGCCTCGTTCGATGTTTTGGCGCCCAATGTAGGGCATAATCAAACCACCGCTGGTCAGTAGACTTGATAGTTGTATCAATAAAAATCTAAATAACAAGTTGAATGGCATGACAACTGTTCCTATACATTTATATTCCTGGAAGTATCAATTGCGTCCTTTTCTCTCCTAGACTAAACATGAAAAATCATCTGAATTTCATATTTTCCTCTTTTCCGCTTCGTTCGATGTTTTGGCGCTCAATGTAGGGCATAATCAAACCACCGCTGGTCAGCAGACTTGATAGTTGTATCAATAAAAATCTAAATGACAAGTTGAATGGCATGACAACTATTAAACAAGATACCAACACCAATCACTACAAGCGTACAAGCTATTTTGATAGGCGAAGCGTATTCAATATTGAATTGAGAAAAGAACAAGCAATCCGAGGCCGGTACTCTTCCTATTCTGACTTCTCAATAAATAACTACTCGACTCATCTTTTTCTGTTCGTATTCATTAATATTCTTGGAAGTATCAATTGCGTTTTTTCATCTCCTAGACTAAACATGGTGAATCATCTAACATGACCATCACATAAATAGTTTACGTTAACTAAAACTAGTGAAAATAGCGAGAGATACAGTTTCTCTCCAATAATGATAAGATAAATCTAACGCCGCCGATATCTTTATGTTCATTTCACAGGTACTTTCGGATCCATGTTGAAAAGCAACGCTACGACGCTTATTTTTCAAAATGAGGCGCGAAACTCGTTAGATTTCTTACATGATATCTGTTATCTTGAAAACTATGAATTTTCGGAACTTTTCGCCTTAGAATAACTCACAAAATCAGCTCTTAAATGAGTTAAGAATAACTCGAAAGTTTGGCCAAACACTTGATTAACACCCTGTATAATCACTTTCAGATGTTGATGAATGAAGCTGAGACATTGTTGACCTTCCTGCATACACAAGGGCTGATTGATTATGAAGATTATAAAATATGTTGAAAGTTGTGTTTTTATAGATAGATTGACCCAGAAATAACTTTGGTTATTTCGGTTTTTTGTGAACTTCTGTTGAGGCTTGTTTTTGTGTGAAGTTCAGTTAACGTTGAGAGAGAAAAAATTGCCCCATTTTGTCTTCAGCTTTTCAACGTAAAATTAGTTTTATGATGGCAACACTAAAAATGAGAAGGAATTGAGAACAAAGTAGGCCCTGATTCTCTTCTCTATATGGTTGCGTGCAAGAACTGTCAGATTACATACCCTGGAGGTAAAAAATTGAAACACAACCTAACTTTTCTCATTCGTTTACAAAATCACATTGTGCTGTTGTACAATGCACAAAAAATGCAGCGAGAGACGAAGGAATCCGGTTGGTACATTATAATTTAAAGGTAAGTACCTACGATAGTCACTCACATATAGTTTTCATGTTGAAATTTAGAAAATTCTGATTTCTCATCGGAATTCCTTCTCCAATAGGACCTAATAGAAATACTCGTGAAATTTCTAAAAGAATGCAATCAAACGGGAGGACTGGTCTGACATGCTGACGAAATATGATCGTGTGTGTTGTAGACATTTTCAATCTTTTAGCAGTATTAGCTTCTATTGCAGAAGTGGCAGAAGGAATTTTAATAAGAAATGACAAAATTTCATAATGAAAACTATGTGAGATTACTATTTACCTGAAAACTAATATTCCTTCGTCTCTCGCTGCATTTTTTGTGCATTGTACAACAGCACAATGAGAAGACATGCTTGAATTAATGAATAGCGCAAAAAACACGATTTGTATGCCGAAATATTGTGAAAAACTATTTCAATCCTTCGATTCCTCTGTAAACAAATAAAAAAAGTGAGGTTGTGTTTCACTATTTTACCTCTAGGGTCGGTCATCGTGCACGCGACCTATTTTTCCTCACTTCCATTGTAACCATAAACATTTTCAATATTTTAAATTGACACCCTGAAGGCAAAAACAGAAGAGGAAGACATTTTTTCTCCTCACAAAGATAGCTGAACTTCCTGTTTGCAATTCTTTAGAAGTCAAGACTGGCAAGAAATAAAAAAATATATGAAAGTTACATAAATTTATTAGAAAAAAATATCAACGAGTTATTTTTTTCTCTCTGGAGATTTCGACCACGACCTATCCTTTGCTTCTTCCCCCTCCTTAGGCAACGACCAAGATTTCGACCTATCACGTCTTTGTTTCAATAATTGCTTCGGCGTCATGAACGTCGAGCTATCCACCGATTTTTCCCTGGACTTGGACTTGTCCCCCGGAATTTCCTCAGATTTCGAGGACTTTTCTTTCGTTCTCGACCTGCTTCGGTGTGACTTTTCTCGAGTTTTCGATCGAGATCTGCTTCTGCGAGATTTTTTGTTCCTGCTGGATTTTGACCGGGATCTTTCGCGAGAGTACGATTTTTTCGATCTGCCCCTAGACCGGGACCTACGAAATGAAAAATTGTCTTGAACCAGGCGGACTGGTGTTTGTACAGAGTGATCTTTGAGAACATACAGTGTGTTACAATTTGGTTCACCCCACCTCTGTACTTTCGTATTCCTAAGGCAGTTTGACATTTTTTTTTCTCACAGTGTACTACTCGAAATTATCTACTTTTTCAAGCAAACAAAATTCATCAATTACAATTTCTCAGCCTACTGCGATCATAAAAACTCCAGCAAAATTGAAGAAAACGGATTAGGCTTTTTTTTACAAAAATTTTGATGTAGGCAATCGATTCGGACTATTCACACAAATACTCTTATATCAATTTTCAAAACAATACGAGGTGTTTTTTATCAATGTTACAATTTTTTAATGATTGCACTTTTCTAGTCACCCTGTATAATGATTCTTAGAATTTGAATGATATCAGGCATGATGGTAGTTAGGATTAAAACATTTGGCTACAGAGTGAAACAAATAACTGATAAAATCACTGAAAATTAAGATTTTTCTATCAAGTAATGAATAGAAACCAAATGATGCCTATCAAAAAATTAGACAAAGATCGAAACATCAATAATTATTCCTAATAAGTTCAATTTTTTTTATTCAACTCTCCTCAGTTCTTCTGGTGGTATCTGTCTGCAAACTATTAGTAGTAGTAGTGTGTAGAGAATGAAGGAGATTCGAGATCGAGAATAAAAAATTTGAACTTGCTAGGAATAATTGCTGTTTTGTACTTTGTCTAATTTTTGATAGGTATCATTTGGTTTCTATTCATTTCTTGATGGAAATAAATCTTAATTTTATCACTAGTGGTATAACATGCTATGAAAATACAATTTCTTTTCTTTTCACCTAGACCTGTGCGAACGTGACCTTGAGTGGTCATTTCGTAACCTTGACCTGGCCGGGTTGTTATGCGAAACTGCCAAACAATCACATTTTTTCACCTTCGTGGGATTGTTTCCAATGTGTCATGAAATTTTGTTAGCAAATCTTGGACTCAAATTCAGTACCCCGAAATAGTAAGAATTAAATTCAACTGGATATCCTTCTCACCTGGACCTGTACGAACGTGACCTCGACCTTCTAGATCTCGACCTTGAGCGGTTGTTTCGCGACCTTGACCTCGATGGGTCGTTATGCGAAACTGCCAAAAAATCACATTTTTCACATTTTTTGGGATTGTTTTCAATGTTGCATCATTAAATGTTGTTAGCAAACATCAAATCCAAATTCAGCACCCCAAAATATTGAAAAATTCAATTCAACTGGACATCCTTCTCACCTGGACCTGTACAAACACGATCTCGACCTCGCCCTTGAGCGGTCGTTTCGCGATCTCGACCTTAAGAGGTCGTTTCGCGATCTCGACCTTAAGAGGTCGTTTCGCGACCTTGACCGGTGACCTGTCGTTATGCAAAACTACCAGACAATCACATTTTTCTTTTTTGGAGGGGTTGATTTCGTTGCACAATGAAATTTCGTTAGCAAACCTCAGATCCCAATCCAGCACCCCGAAATAGTAAAAAACAATGCAACTGGATGACTTGTTCGAACGCGATTTCGACCTTGAACGGTCGTTTCGCAACCTTGAACTTGACCGGCCGTTATGCAAAACTGCCAAACAATTACATTTTCCACCTTTTTTGGAATTGTTTTCGATGTTGCATTATCAAATTTTGTTAGCAAACCTCAGATCCAAATTCTGTACCCTGAATTAGTTAGAAATACAATTCAACTGGATATTCGTCTCTCCTGTACAAACGCGACCTCGACCTTGAGTGGTCATTTCGCGGTCTCGACCTTGATCAGTCGTTTCGCGACCTTGACCGGTCGTTATGCGAAACAATTATATTTATCACCTTTATGGGAATTGTTTGCGTCATGAAATTTTGTTGGCAAACCTCAGATTCAAATCCATCTCCACCTTCTCGATTTCGACCTTGAGCTATCGTTGCTCGACCTTGACCTCGACCTTCTCCTGCTGCCAGACCTTGACCTTCGACGAGGCGAATAGGAGCGACCCCTGTAGTCGTGCTCGTCGAGGAACTTGTCGAAATACCGCTGGAACTACTTCCATTTTCAATAGGAAGGTTTTTTAGATAAAAGTTGATAATAATCGAGTGATAAGCAAAAAACTTTCCAAGTAAAAATACAATTCAACTGGATTCGTCCAACAATTCTTCTCGAACGCGATCTCGACCGCCTCGACCTTGACCTTCTAGACCTCGACAGTGAGCGATCGTTTCTTGACCTTGATAGATCAATTCGCGACCTTGAGATTGATCAATTTTCTCGCCTTTTTGTGATTTTTTTCAATGATGCGTCCGGAATTTTTGTAATGCAAACCACAGATTCAGTACTCCGAAATATGTATGGGATGAAATAAATCAAAACTACTTCACAACATTCCTAGTCGTTTCGCGACCTTGACCTCTCGTTTCACGGCATTGATATTGATCTGAAATACAATTTAGCTGTACATCCTCCTCACCTGGACCTGTACGAACGCGATCTCGACCTTCTCGACCTAGCCTAGATCTTCTAGACCTCGACCTTGAGCGATAGTGTCTAGATCTTGATCGGTCGTCTCGCGACCTTGACCTCGACCTTCTCCTGCTGCCGTACCGCGACCTTCGACGAGGCGAATAGGAGCGACCCCTGCCATCGTGCTCGTCGAGAAACTTATCGAAGTACCGCTGGAACTACTTCCATTTGCAATAGGAAGCTTTTTTTGATAAAAGTTGATAACAATCGAGTTATGAGCAAGAAACTTTCCAAGTAAATTTACAATTTTACTGGATTTGTCCAACAATTCTTCTCGAACGCGATTCAGACCGCCTTGACCTTGACCTTCTAGACCTCGACAGTAAGCGATCGTTTCTTGACCTTGATAGATCAATTCGCGACCTTGAGCAATAACTTTCCTCGCCTTTTTGTGTTTTTTTCAAAGAGACGACTGGAAATTTTGTTTTGCGAACCACAGATTCAGATTCAGTACTCCGAAATACGTATGGAATGAAATGAATCAAAACTACTCCACAACATTAATAGTCGTTTCGCGACCTTGACCTCTCGTTTCACGGCATTGATCTTGACCTGAAATACAATTCAGCTGTACATCCTTCTCACCTGGACCTGTACGAACGCGATCTCGACCTCCTCGACCTAGATCTTCTAGACCTCGACCTTGATCGATCGTGTCTCGACCTTGACCGGTCGTCTCGCGACCTTGACCTTCTCCTGCTGCCCGACCTTGACCTTCGACGAGGCGAATAGGAGCGACCCCTGTCGTCGTGCTCGTCGAGGAACTTGTCGAAGTACCGCTGGAACTACTTCCATTTTCAATAGGAAGCCAAAAAACTTTTCAAGCAAAAATACAATTCGACTGGATTCGTCCAACAATTCTTCTCGAACGCGATCTCGACCACCTCGGCCTTGACCTTCTAGACCTTGACAGTGAGCGATCCTTTCTCGACCTTGATAGATCATTTCGCGACCTTGATATTGAAAACTTTTTTCGCCTTTTTGTGATTTTTTTCAATGATGCGTCCGGAATTTTCGTTATGCAAACCACAGATTCAGTACTCCGAAATATGTATGGGATGAAATAAATCAAAACTACTTCACAACATTCCTAGTCGTTTCGCGACCATGACCTCTCGTTTCACGGCCTTGATCTTGACCTGAAATACAATTCAGCTGTATATCCTTCTCACCTGGACCTGTACGAACGCGATCTCGACCTTCTCGACCTCGATCTTCTAGACCTCGACCTTGAGCGGTCGTGTCTCGACCTTGACCGGTCGTCTCGCGACCTTGACCTCGACCTTCTCCTGCTGCCCGACCTTGACCTTCGACGAGGCGAATAGGAGCGACCCCTGTCGTCGTGCTCGTCGAGGAACTTGTCGAAGTACCGCTGGTACTGCTCTTCGAGGTCGCGGTGGTAAGGGCGCGGGTTACCACCGCCCCGGGGGTAACCGCCGCGGTTGCGGGGGTGGTAGTTGCCCCTGCGTCTGTTGTTGTTGTATCCCCCTGGAATAGGATCGAATAGATATTTTTCTTGAAGCGACAGGGATAGTGGCTTTTTTCTGCCGCTTAACAGGCAGAAAAGGTGTACTTTTACTGCCTAGGCAGGAAAAGTTTGTTGCTATGCAACGTTCCAAGAAATTCTAATGAAATTAGTAATCAAAATTGACACTGACATTGAGTGAACACAAAATGATGGAGTTTTCAATAAAAAAATTACACAAAATTGGTTTTATATCATTTGGAGAAAAAATTCTATGTTTCACACGGCAGCAAATGTAGATTGACTGCCGCGGCTCATAGTTCATAGCCGAGTAAAACAATAGTTATTTATTATACAAGGGAAAAAAGTGGTAGATTTTAGCTAAAAACCGTGAGCTAAAATCTAATATTTTTCCCGTGTATAATACACTATTTTTTTCTGTGACAGGAGAAAGGACGAATCAATATTGAGAAGATATTACATTATTTTGAAATCTGAAAATTATCGACGTGAAATTTTAAGTTTTTAACAGTAGGGACACCTGCGTTGTAGCCATCTTTATCATTCTTTTGAAGTAATCAAATATCTGATGTCACTTCTGTCAGTCTAATTCTGTGATTTGATTTCAAAAATTGCGAATTTAGTGGTCGTTTAGTAATATACGTAACCGCGAAGTCGAATGGAAGACAAAAGGACTTGCAGTTCTTTCTCGGAGACGGTATTATTGACTCATTTTTCGGAACTATAGCACAACAAAAGCCATCAACAGTGTATATATATGTGAGATATATCCGGGAAAAAAGTATTCACTTTTTTTTCACGGAAAAAAAGTAATTTATGAAAAGTGACGTTTTATAACATGCCAACAGTAATGAAATGCCAAACTTTTTTCTCGTCACAGGAAAAATAACTATTATTGACCGGTTTTTTCGCCTGTTACCATATGGTAACGCTAGCTGTTTATGGGAGTCAGTTAGAAGATTGCGTGATTTCTCTCCAGGAGAGGTTTTACCTTGAAAGAAGCTCTGCAAATAGTACCTATTTTGTGTAAGAATAATAAAAAAACAAAAATTCCCAACATCATCGATTAGAGGAGTTATGTTTACCTCTGGACGGCCCGGGCATGCCTGGATATCTAGGAAACGGTCTACCTCTCGGCTGGAAACCACCCCTCATGACAGAGAAGATATCTTGGTATTGGGGGTACTGGGGGTACATAGGCCCAGGGGGGAAATGGTACTGGTACCCCAACCAGTTGGGATCGTACAACAGTTCCGGGTATTTTTCGAGGGTGGGACTCCTCGGTCGCTGTCCTGAAAATAAAAGCAAATTTCTCCGTGAAATTCATGGAAAACCATTGCACCAGAAAGTTGGCATCATATAGGAAACACTTATAATAATAATTCGTTGTGGAATTATTCGACTTGGTCCATTTTGCTTTAAAAACTCGGGCGGGGTCACGTGACATACGCTACATGTCAAAAGTTACATTTATGCAAATTATATCGCTGGAAAATTGTTAGTTTGTTTGAATTTTGAAAACGTTTACTAAGGAAAATTGTTCCTATTCCGATTTCACACTTTTATCTCAATTTTGAACGTTCTATCGTAACCGTTAGTTTTCGATATTTTTCACTGTCTACGAAATTTCTGTATTGAAAAATATTGTAACTTCCACAAAATTGTCCAAAACTTTGGTTGGATATACACGTGGTTTGATGATATTTTGATTGATGACTTTGGCACAATTTCAGTACTCTGAGAAAGCCATTTAAATACATGTTGCTCCTAAATTCTTGACAATGCATCAAACACGACAGGAATTTGAGGCAGAAATCATGAAATTGACCACTCGCCTATTCTTCTATGAATTTTTTTTCATGACTTGTATAAGTTCTTTAAAAGTGGATCAATAAAAAAAAATACGGGATAGAAACTTTTCTCAATAAAAGTTTTTTGAATTTAAACAAATAAGCCTAGTTTCAGTTACTGATTTGAAAAAATGTAACCCCGACCAAAGAATAATATTCAGATAAGTGAATGAAATGTATGTAGGAAAATAAAGCACATCAAACTAAAAAAGTTGAGTTTATCGGAGCTTGTTGCAATGAAAATAAATCGACTTACTTTGCACTGACGAGTCGATAGAAAAATTGGAGTCTGAGCTGGAAGAAGAGTACCTTCTGGTACGCTGTCCTTCAGAAAGGATGGTTTTGAGCATGACACGACCTTTGAGGGCATCATGCAGTCTTTCTCTCTGTGTTAACACTTCAAGTTCGCTGGTGTTCTTGAACCGCCTCAATTCGTCATGTGCTGGGTTCGGCATGTTGTCGTACAATTGCACGTTTTCAGGATTTTTTTCCTGGATCAGGGACCAGGGTTAATTATACCGCATGTTCCTCAATTCAAGTGACAAAGCCTAAGTAGTTATCCCGCCACTATAGCCCAGCCCCTCCCCTCCACCTTTCTTCAAACCACGTGACCCGACTAGCCAATCAGAGGCCAGCATTTGGTTGGAGACCACGCCCACCAAAACGTCACGGAACACCACGGAAATGTCACTGAAACGTCACGGAACACCACGGAAATGTCACTGAAACGTCACGGAACACCACGTGACATTTCCGTGATGTTTCGTGACATTTCCGTGGTGTTTCGTGACATTTCCGTGGTGTTCCGTGACATTTCTGTGGTGTTCCGTGACGTTTCAGTGGTGTTCCGTGACGTTTCAATGACATTTCCGTGGTCCGTGACATATCAGTGGTGTTTTGGTGGGAGTGGTCTCCAACCAAATGCTGGCCTCTGATTGGCTAGTCGGCTCACGTAGTTTGGAGAAAGGTGGAGGGGCGGGGCTGGGCTATAGTGGCGGGATAACTACTAGCCTAGTGTAGTTTGTGCCCGATGAGTTTTTTCAACTTTTATAACTTACTGCTTTAGCAGTATTTTTAAAAATTTCATGTACAGAACTGACGATCATTATTAAAAAAAAATCAAATTCCAAACGAAATCAAAGACTATAAAGGCAGAGATGAGTTAGTGGGTAACTTATCTCTGACAAATTACAGAAGGGGAAATATTCATTGGGTATAGGGTTAACCTATGAAAGCATCTAGGGGTCACACAATTGAAATAAATTAATTTTTACCAATATATTGAAAAAAAAATCCAATATATTGGAAAAAAATCCAATATGTTGGGAAAAATCCAATATATAAAAAAAATAATATATTGAAAAAATAGGTACTTCAGTGAAACAAAATATAGAAGGGGAAATATTCATTGGGTATAGGGTCAACCTATGAAAGCATCTAGGGGTCACACAATTAAAATACAATTATATTTTCCAATATATTGAAAAAAAAATCCCATATATTGAAAAAAAATCCAATATATTGAAAAAATAATTCAATATATTGGAAAAAAAATCCAACATATTGGGAAAAAAATTCAATATGTTGGAAAATAATCCAATATGTTGGGAAAGAATCCAATATATTGGGAAAACTCCAATATATTAAAAAAAATCCAATTATTGGAAAAAAATCCAATATGTTAGAAAAAAATCCAATAAATTGGAAAATGAGCATTACAGGATAAGACATTGAAATGGATGATGGAGATTTTTTTTAGATGCCCCATGCCCTCCATAGTCCATTTCAATGTCTTATTGTGTAATTCTCATTTCCCAGTATATTGGATTTTATTCCAATATATTGGATTTTTTTCCAATATACTGCAAAAATATAAATTAATTTCAATTATGTTACCCCTAGATGCTTTAGTATGGATGAAATAAATATTGGAAAAACTCAAAACATAAAAAATACATTTTTTTCAGGCTCAATTTTTCAAAATTTATTTTCGTTTTTGTGTATTCTTCTGGAGAAACTCTTACTTTGATTCTTCTGAAAAGTTCCTCTACTAGTCTAATAGCTTCCAATTTTCTTTGCACTCTCATCAATTTCTTCTCTTCTTTGGCGATTTTCTCATTGATTTCATCAGTTCCAGATATTTCCAGCTTCTCCAAAATTTTCACTTTTCTTTTTTCCTCTCTAAGTTTCCGGCGCAGTTTCTTCTGTTCAATCACATCTAATTCTTTTTGCCTGAAAATTACCCCTAATACCTCACGATTTTATGTGGGAACCACCATCAAAATTTTTAAAGAATTATGGATCAAGTTCCAACAATAATCAACAATGATGATAAAAAATAAATTGGATTATTTTTAGTTGAATAAAATTGTGTACAAAGTAATTTGAAATAAATGTAGGTAAATTTAAACCTTTCCAATTCTTCTTGACGTTTCTTTTCTTCCAACTCAGCCCTATCCTTCTCTTCTTTCTCTCTAGCCTTCCTTACAAGTCTGTCCCTTACAATCTCACGTCTTCTAAGGGAAGCCTCACTCAAATGTTTGGTCTTATCGAATTCTACTTTCATATTCACTTCAGTGGCCCCATCATCTTCTTTGTGCACAATTTTCATGTCCCTCAAAGCATCCATGGCCTTCACAAACCCCATATAGTCCTTGAATTGCACATAACCTTCAAAAAATTCAGTGTTCTCAAAGGTTGAATGTTTCAGTCCTGAAATGGCATCCTTCATCTTTTTCCTGTATGGATCACAGGTGGGAATGTCAACATAACGAATATTGCCGAATTTTTCAAACACCCGGTAAAACAGTTTTTCCGATGGGGTTATGTCTTCTTCACCAGACTGATGGTAGGGAATGAACCATCTGGATGGTAAGTTATAGATGTGTATGGTGTCTGGACGTTCACCAGGCTTCATTTCATCCATGTTTTTGGCATTTGAGAAGAAATCATCCCATATTCGCCGGTTAGGGAAGTCAGATTTCCACTCAGCGGCGCGAATTCTCATCATCTCACTGAAATCTTTTAATTTTATCATCTTGTTGTCGATTTTAGAGACCACACGTTGGAGCCTATCCTTGGTTTCTATTTCTCCTTCAAATCTAACGAATTCTAACGTAGTTTTAGTGACTTTGAGGATAGTGAATTCATCGGGTTTCACGAGAGCGCGGATTTTATCCATGATCTCCCAATGCGAGACACTTTTGCCCAATTTTTTCACGTTCGGTAGTTGAAGAGACATGTTGAGTCGAGCTATCGGTTTCAGGTATAGTTGCTGTGGAAGGTATAGTGGCACCAAGTCCGAAGTGTTGGAGCAAGTCTGAAAAGCATTCATAATTAGAGCGTTTTCTGTTTTTGCTGAGAAGAATTGATCTTGGAAATGATTTTAAATAAATGATAGAAAGTCTCTAATTATAGAATGCTCTTCCATAACTCTTCAAAGTCATTGTGCCACACTAGTATCAGTAGAATCACTGGTTTATTTAGTTTTTGGCGAATTCGCGATTTTAATAAATTTGGAGAACACTACTGTATTTTTGACATGTACTGTATATATTTCTATACACACATGATTTTGACATTTGATTTTGATTCGCATTTATAGTTGCGTTTCATTTGTTCCATTCTGGTAGCGGTGGTGGGAACAGAATGACGATACAAATAAAACGAGAAACTTCATGACCTTGCAGGAGCGTTGATTGTGGTGATTGGAGAAACTTCTCTGAGACTGAGATGTTTATTCTGAGACCAAGAGTATTAATATGATCTGGGAATAGTGGGAATGAACATATGAAACCTGTCTTACTTGAAAGAATCATAAACTTGTGATCTTGACGATAAAAATGTCTGCTAAATGTCTTCTACTTTCAAAAAGTTCCGTTTTCGCCAATCTAATATTATTTTTTGACAACTGTCAACAGTCATTCCACGTCATTCCTTGTAGTGAGGCGGAATGAGAAGTAGCAACCGGAATCGGTTAAGTTGCAAATAAAACGACACATCAAAGTGATCTCAGTGGCGGAATCGGATAAATAAAACGCTACTTATGATTTGACCTTGACCAAATCACAAAAAAAACTTATGTCATATGTCACCAGTGGCATTGACACTGATACTAGCGATTTATTTTCTATGACTTTCTCTTTTTACATCATGCCATGAACAGAGACAACTATGGAAAAAAATTAACTCAGCAAGTTCAGCAATACAAACGAACAGGCCTCATGAGGATTAATGAGGTCTCGGAATATGGAGTACATTAGCGACTTATGGCGAGTTCACATGCCAGCTTATGCCTACAGCAGAAAGCTTGAATGAAACGGGCGCACTTTTCACATGAAAAAGTTGGAAAAGTGACAGTGACTGCCACATATTTGGTTAAATTTCAGATGTACGTCCTCCAGTACTGTTTTCCCCACTGCATAATATGATTATATAGCAATTATGTGTATTCATTTTGTCAATATTTGTGTGGTTCTGTCAAACGATCTGCCCTTTTTTCCGCAAAAGTCGGACTGAAACCGACTTTCTAGCGACCTCGATAAGCGCTTTCTGACGAATCGGCCAATGAGATGAGGATACGCTGTAAGTCAAAAGGCGAAAAGCCAGCATGTGAACGCGCCATTAGCTTTTCTGCGTGTTTCTGTCACTTTTTGTCTTCTCAATTAGTATTCTGTGCTCCAGATGTTCCCGATTCTGTGTCTGCTGTCAGTGCTGTCACTGCTGTCTGTGATTCCATTCGATTCTGATCTGATTCAGTGATTACTAATTTTGATCCTGCTGAACTGAAGTGAATCGTTCGAATCGTTGTATTGGACTTGGAGATTCGATTTTGGATTGGACAGGACAAGAAAAATAATGTCAAATGGTGCCTCATTTCATTGTGGTATCCCCGGTATTCCTTGCAGTGTTCCAGTGTTTTGGTAGATTCCATCAGATATTAAATTGGTAGTTTATCACTTTCCACTTAACATACCACAAAATGGCTGAAGCAGCTGTAGAAGATAGACCTACACAAAAGTTTTATTGCCATGTGTGTAATATCCAATTCCAAAATGCCTCAACGGTAAACTTTCCAATCACCAGACTATATTCTCCATTAGCTAAAACACTTGAATTGTTTGTAGAATTTCACATGCCCACATTGCTCTGATGGATTCATAGAAGAGCTTCAAGAAACTGCTGATGGAAATGAAGAAATGGTAGATGTAGGAGAATGGGAAGATGCAGATGTAAGTTCTCTTCATTTCCCCTAGTAACCTTCTCACCACTTGCATTTCAGATGGATAACTTGATGTTACCTCTACATCTCATGGAAGAAAGAAGATCCAGAACACGGTCTGAAGGAAACCGTCCTGGTAGAAGGTACGCTAATCGCGCCAGGATAGTTAGACCCAGGTCTGAAAAATTCATTTTATAGATTTGCATGAGCATATTTGGGGATTTTGTAGTAAAGTGGGGTGTTGTCCTAGAACATGGTTTCATGAGGTAGTTATGGAATAGTGTCAAGTTATTCTTACCAATTACTGACCCTTTGATACCATTATGTGTTACAAAGGGTACATTTTTCCCCTGTTTAACATGTTTTGTTTTGTTATTGTAGTGTTAATGAAAAGTTGTTGAAAACCAAGGTAAGTGAGTAGATATGCAATTTTGAATATTTTGTTCCAAGAGTTGTTATTGATTATAAGAAGACCAGTGCTATTGACAAGATGGATTTATTTTTTGATCAAGAAATCTCCAACCCAACCCACATTACTCAGTATGTAACATCAAGTATACACCCTAGGATTTCTCAATACCTATTGGGAAATTGATAGCTATATTTTTGTGTTTATTTTCTTGCTCTCAATTTTTTATGTGTACCAGTTGGTCCAAATCCAATGTATCTGTTGCTACTTTCATAGGATTGAAGATATGTCATATTTCTCAATATACCCAATTTTGTTTATTCCATCCAGTTGGAAAATTGCAGTTTTTATCTAGTTTGAATTATGATATTGTCTTTTATCACACTCCCTGTATACCTGGTGTCCACATACACTCTACAGGGTGTTTTTTGAATGCTGGGGTACATGAAATACAGTTTTGTTGAATGGAAACCCTGTATTTTAAAAGCTTTCATTTAACTTGCATTGTATGTTTGTATGTATGTATGTTTGGGTGGAATCTTTGAACTCAATTTTGAAGTAGAAATCTTCAACCGATTGAGCTGAAATTTTGTATACACGTTCAGTTTGGATGACAATGCACGATAAGGTGTGTCACGTTATTCTAAATCCAATATGGCGGACTATCCAAGATGGCGAAATAGCTAATTTTGATATACTTTTACAATATGGGTATCAAATGAAAAGGCTCGTTGAGAGTAACTCGAAAATTGATGTGACGTCATTCTAAATCGAATATGGCGGACCATCCAAGATGGCGGAATGGACATTTTTAATCTATTTCTACAATATGAGTATCAAATGAAAGGGCTCGTTGAGAGTAATTCGAAAAATAATGTGATGTTATTCTAAATCCAATATGGCGGACCATCCAAGATGGCGGAATAGCTATTTTTGATATACTTTCACAATATGGGTATCAAATGAAAAGGCTCGTTGAGAGTATCTCGAAAAATGATGTGACGTCATTCTGAATCCATTATGGCGGACCATCCAAGATGGCGGAATGGACATTTTTAATCTACTTCTACAATATGGGTATCAAATGAAAGGGCTCGTTGAGAGTAATTCGAAAAATAATGTGACATTATTCTAAATCCAATATGGCGGACCATCCAAGATGGCGGAATAGCTATTTTTGATATACTTTTACAATATGGGTATCAAATGAAAAGGCTCGTTGAGAGTAACTCGAAAATTTATGTTACGTCATTCTAAATCGAATATGGCGGACCATCCAAGATGGCGGAATGGACATTTTTAATCTACTTCTACAATATGGGTATCAAATGAAAAGGCTCGTTGAGAGTAACTCGAAAAATGATGTGACGTCATTCTGAATCCATTATGGCGGACCATCCAAGATGGCGGAATGGTCATTTTCAACATACTCCTACAATATGAGTATCAAATGAAAAGGCTCGTTGAGAGTAAATCGAAAAATCCAGCTAGCGATAACTAAAAATTAAAAAACTAATTGAAAGTAAAAAAAAAACTTTTTAATAAAATGCTTTTATTTAAACGCTTTTTCTCAATAATTCCAACTATGTATCAACTTATAACCCCATTATACACAATTTATATGATCATAAAAGCTTCATTTTCGATGCCGAATCGAATCAGAATATAAAATTGAGGGGTTTCCATTTGAAAAAAAGGACTTCAATAATTTTTTCAATCGGATCTATATCATTTTCTGGTGAACGCCCTGTATAACTGTAATCGAATTGATAACGAAATTCTACTGAACTGGGTCCTTTCCTACGAATAAATCGATACACAATCGAAAATAAATAATCATGTCCAGAAATAAAACAAAATATTTTTCGGTCTGCAAACGCAATTTCCAACTTAAAATTTGAAATATTTCGAAAACGGTTAGTTTTGGGTATAGGACATTATACATAAAACATGTTCAGAATTCGTCATTCCTTGCTCGCACAAGACTTTCGAAGACTTCTGAGGGTTGCTCGTAAGGGGGCAACCGAATGACGGATAGAACAAATTTTAGAACAAAAAATTTTAGAACAAATTTAGAATCATGCGTAAAATCTAAAACCTTGATAATATACAGGGTGTCCCATTTGAAATAACGAAGTTGGGGTCCACTTCCGGTACAGCCGGAAGTGTCACAATCTTCAAAATATTTTAGCCAGCTAGCACTTATCAACAATAGTGAACTCCCAAATTTTCAAATTCGGCCCACCTATGGTTTTCTATATATTGATCGATGCAGTTCCCGGAGGGACACCCTGTATAGTTTCTCTGGTTAAAACAAAAAGTGTCAGTAAATGGCAAAGGGTCAGCAATTGGTACCTTTGCCTCCACTCTAAGGCCATTAGATTATAGAACAGGGTGAATTTTGTCCACTATAAAAAAGTTTGATTTTGTCCACATTGGAAACATTGCAATTGAAACTTTAATGATAGTTCCATATGTAATTTGCACTGCCATTGTTCAAAGATAGTTTCTGTATAATGTAATTATAATAAACTTCAACTGTTAATGTACTATTGCAAGTGAAACTAACATTGATAGGTCATTTGTTGAGATACAAAAAAGTATTTTCATATTACAGAAAGTAGCTCTATATTATTCATATTGTGGCAATATTCTGTTTGTAACATACCTAACGTGTTTTAGGTCATCACATCATGTTCATATGAAAACACAGTTTTCAACTGATTGGAATGATTTTTTTTTGTTAGGTAGATATTCAAAAAGTCTATTAGGACACCAAATATCATGAATAAATCTCCATTTCCAGGGCCAACTAATCTGATTTTTCAAGGTCAAAAATCTAAAAAAATTACTAGCGATTTTTTTAGAAAAAATCTGACTACACCACTGGATTTGTGACATTTTCAAATGGGTAACATGTAAATTACGTTGAAATGCGTCAATCAATAAAAAAGTTATAAAGGAATGAAATTTGAAAAATATGCCGTTTAATCAACCCATCAATTTTTATTACTGAACAGATTTCGATGAAACTGTGATCAGTAATATTTCAAGACATCCTGAATCCAGTGGAGTATACAGAATTTTCATAAAATTCCTGAACATGAATTGGTGGGTTGATTAAACGGCATATTTTTCAAATTTCATTCCTTTATAACTTTTTTATTGATTGACGCATTTCAACGTAATTCACATGTTACCCATTTGAAAATGTCACGAATCCAGTGGTGTAGTCAGATTTTTTCTAAAAAAATCGCTAGTAATTTTTTTAGATTTTTGACCTTGAAAAATCAGATTAGTTGGCCCTGGAAATGGAGATTTATTCATGATATTTGGTGTCCTAATAGACTTTTTGAATATCTACCTAACAAAAAAAAAATCATTCCAATCGGTTGAAAAATGTAAGTTTTATAAGGGTGCTTCCATCTTAAATGGGTCACACTGTATGTGATCCAGGCTTTTTCAATGATTTTGTTTTTATCTAATAATATCAATTTCATCCGGGTCTAGAGGTTATCAAAAAAAGTGGACAAAATGTTCACCCTGTAGTTGAATGAGCTGAATGGGTAGTAACTAGAACTAGACCTTTATCATTATATTAAATATATTATCATGTGATATCTCACGAAATCTCCTCAAATTATCATATTTTTCAAGGATGAGACATATTTTATTGACATTCAACAAGTGACCCTGATTTTGACAGCAGTTGGTGCCAACATAAAGACAAAAAACACCTTTTCCAAGTTAATGTTAATGTTGAATGAGTTGAATGTCTAAGCATAATAGCATCATGTGATATCTCACAAAATCTCCTCAAATGATCATATATTTCAAGGATGAGACATATTTTATTGACATTGAAAATACATTAGACAAGTGACCCTGATTTTGACAGCAGTTGGTGCCAACATAAAGACACATAACACCTTTTCCAATTGAATGTTATTGTTGAATGAGTTGAATGGATAATCATAATAGCATTATGTGATATTTCACAAAAACTCCTCAAATGACCATATTTTCATCGGTGAGACATCTTTTATTGACATTGACTATACATTGGACAAGTGACACTGATTTTGACAGCAGTTGGTGCCAACATAAAGACAGAAAACACCTTTTCCAAGGGAATGTTATTGTTGAATGAGTTGAATGGATAATCATAATAGCATCATGTCAAAATATCACAAAATCTCCTCAAACTACAATATTTTCAGCGGTGAGACATATTTTATTGATATTGAAAATACAATGGACAAATGACACTGATACTGACAGCAGTTGGTGACGACACAAAGACACAGAACACCTTTTCCAAGGGAATGTTATTGTTGTATGGATAATCATAATAGCATCATATGCGATATCTCACGGAAACTCTTCAAATGACCATATTTTCAAGGGTGAGACATTGACATTGAAAATACCATATATCTACTACTCATATATGAAGCATAGCTGTCCTCAAAGCGGGACCAACTTCTGTCTCTATAGGGAACGAAATCGACCAATAGGCGTTGATGCCGACGTAGGGAAAAAATAATACGAAACTTGTCAAACCAATATGGCTGTTTCCATCCTTCACTTTCCGTCCTTATAGATTCAACAAGTACCTCTCATTTTGGTCCCATTTTTGTTGAGATATCGTAAAGGCGATGCGCCATATATAGAAATAGTAGATATATGGAAAATACAATGGACAAGTGACCCTGATTTTGACAGCAGTTGGTGCCAACACAAAGACACAGAACACCTTTTCCAAGTGAATGTTAATGTTGTATGGATAATCATAATAGCATCATATGCGATATCTCACGGAAACTCCTCAAATGACCATATCTTCCAGGGTGAGATATATTTTATTGACATTGAAAATACAATGGACAAGTGACACTGATTTTGACAGCAGCTGGTGCCAACATAAAGACACAAAACACCTTTTCCATGGGAATAAGACTAGCAAAATCTCCTCAATCGACTATATTTTCAAGTGTGAGACATATTTTATTGACATCGACTATACATTGGACAAGTGACACTGATTTTGATACAAAACACCTGTTCCAAGTATAAAACGGTCAAATTCATGGTTGGGGATGATTCTTTTCAGAACCTTGACTAGACTTGCTTCCTCTAATCTCAGACAGCAAGTGCCTTTCGAGAACATCCTGCAAGACTTTATCGTCAATTTGGGGGTGGGGGTGAATTGGGGCGCGGCGGGGAATATGCAGCTGTTCTTGGGGAATCCCGGCGATTATGCTTGGGGGAGAGAGGGCCTGGACGCTATCGTTACGCAACTGTTGAATCAGATGGATAGCACAGGTGAGTTTCCATGCGTGATTTTTATGGGGAATTAAATTTGGGAGATATTACTCCATAAGGAGTGATAGAAACAATTTTTTTTTAAGATTTTTTCTTTGTTTTCCAAAATAATGATGAAAAACTATATGTTGAAAAATTATGAAAAAAATAATGTGATTTTGTTGTGGTGAGAATGTTTTGTCAAAATTTCATGAAAATTTGTGGTCCCTTTTTTGAAAAAATAAAAAAAAGACAAAAATATAAATAAATTTTTTTGAAAATTTTCAATTTTTTTTTATTGTGACCCCTTAGGCCCGCCGCCCTTGTCGAAGGACGTCATCGACTCCCTACCCGTGGTCGAGGTGACGCCGGACCAAGTTTCTGCCAAGCTGCAGTGCTCCGTGTGCTGGGAGGACTTTCAGCTGCGCGAAACCGTTCGTCAGCTGCCCTGCACGCATGTCTACCACGAGCCGTGCATTAGGCCGTGGCTAGAGCTGCACGGTACCTGTCCCATTTGTAGGCAGAATTTGGGATTGGGCGGGGAGCAGCCGAATGGCGACAACAATCAGGATACAGGAGGTGCGGGTGAGTGTGGCGAATAAATTCCGACGTTCCGGTGATTTTCATTGTTTTTTTTTAATTTTGACCCCTTCGAAAAAAAAAATCGGTACGCCCCAAAAGCCACAGCTCGTTGTATCCCGGATGGTGTCGATGAAAATTCTTATTTTGAATTTTTTTATTTTTGACCCCTTCAGAAAAAAAAATGGTACGTCCCTGGAGTCGTAGTTCTCTGTATCTCGGATGGTGTCGATGAACATCCTAACTTTAGATCTCTCCTTTTTTCGACCCCTTGAAAATTTTTTGATGCGCTTCTGGAGTCGCAATTTTCTATTATATCATGGAAGGGGTCCATAGAATTTCAAATACACGTTTTTTTTCATTTTTGACCCCTTGAAAAAATGTCGGTACGCCTCTGAAGTAGCAATTTTTATTTCATCTCGGATGGTGTCGATGAAATTTCTAATTTTGAATTTTGTTATTTTTGACCCCTTCAGAAAAAAATCGGTACGCCCCTGGAGTCGTAGTTCTTTGTATCTCGGATAGTGTCGATGAAAATTCGAATTTTAGATCCTTCCTATTTTTGACCCCTTGAAAATTTTTTGGTGCGCCTCTGGAGTCTCAATTTCTTATTATATTATGGAAAGGGTCCATAGAATTTACTTTTTTTTTAATTTTTGACCCCTTAAAAAAATGTCGGTACGCCCCTGAAGTAGCAATTTTTGTTTCATCTCGGATGGTGTCGATTGAACCTAGTACCGATGAATTTATTTTTTGAGTCGATTTTTTTCGTCTACCACGAGCCGTGCATTAGGCCGTGGCTAGAGCTGCACAGCACCTGTCCCATTTGTAGGCAGAATTTGGGATTGGGCGGGGAGCAGCCGAATGGCGACAACAATCAGGATACAGGAGGTGGGGGTGAGTGTGGCGAAGAAATTCCGACGTTCCGGCGATTTTTATTGTTTTTTAAATTTTTGACCCCTTCGAAGAAAAAAATCGGTACGCCCCTAAAGCCACAGCTCGTTGTATCCCGGATGGTGTCGATGAAATTTCGAATTTTAGATTTTTTATTCATTTTTGACCCCCTCAGAAAAAAATCGGTACGCCCCTGGAGTCGTAGTTCTTTGTATCTCGGAAAGTGTCGATGAAAATTCGAATTTCAGATTTTTCCTATTTTTGAACCCTTAAAAATTTTTTGATACGCCTCTGGAGTCTCAATTTTTTATTATATTATGGAAGGGGTCCATAGAATTTCAAATTCACGTTTTTGTTGCATTTTTGACCCTTAAAAAATGTCGGTAAGCCACTGAAGTAACAATTTTTGTTTCATCTCGGATGGTGTCGATGAAACCTAGTACTGAGGAGTTTATTTTTTCATTTTGAAGTCTCGATTTTTTTCGTCTACCATATCAGGCCGTGGCTGGAGCTGCACGGCACCTGTCCCATTTGTAGGCAGAATTTGGGATTGGGCGAGGAGCAGCCGAATGGCGACAACATTCAGGATACAGGATACAGAGGTCCGACGTTCCGGTGATTTTCATTGTTTTTTTAATTTTTGACCCCTTCGAAAAAAAAATCGGTACGCCCCAGAAGCCTCAGCTCGTTGTATCCCGGATGGTGTCGATGAAAATTCTTATTTTGAATTTTTTTATTTTTGACCCCTTCAGAAAAAAATTGGTACGCCTCTGGAGTTGCAATTTTTTTAATATTGCGGCATTCCGATTTTTCGAATTTTTGACCCCTTTAGAAATTAAACTACCCTCATAAACTATATATTTTGGATAGTTGTGATAATATTTCCAATTTACTTTTTCTTTATTTTTGACCACTTGAAAAAATTTGATACGCTCGTGAAATTTTTGTATTGCGGTATTTCGATAACTTTTTATTTTTGACCGCTAGAAAATAAATCAGTGCGTTTCTGGAGTCACAATTTTTTATTTACTGAATAAAAAAAATCGTACGCCCCTGAAGTCGCATTTAGAGGGTATAAAATCAAAACATCAACGAAAAATATCATCGAAGATACTTGAAAATTGCTAGAGATTATCAACGTTTCCATAGTAAGTAAGTTGCCAAGGTCATTTACACATCCAAGGTACATAACTGGGCCCAATATGGAACCGTGAGGTACCCCAAGTGAAAAGCCGAAATGGAGCTGCATATTGACGAAATTAATGCATTTTTAGGTAACAGTTCTTTCAACGTGTTGAGAAATCTTTTCCACAATCAACAATCAAGCAGTTCCTCTAACGCCTCAAGTTCTAGTTCTGTAGATAATAATGGAGCGACGACGAGATCAAGGTCACAGAGCGATTCGATGATGTAACTAGTGAAGTAATATAGGGTGTGCTTGCTTTAAAGTCTTAATATTATATTGATTAATAGTAATTCATTCTAATTATTCCAAGTGTAGTCTGCCTGGGAGGAAAATAGAAAAAATGGACCACCTTGTATAGTAACCGAAAATGTTTTTTTTATCAATTTGTTCCTGTGGATTTTCCGTACTGATTTAACTTTCAATGTGGCATGTGTCGAGGCATTCCAAATAAAAACACTTTCAGAATTAATTGAAATATTTTAATTTGTGTGAGTTTATGAATCACCCTGTACTACCAAATCTAATGAAAACTAGGCGAATAAAAATCTCATCCTGGCAAATATATTAATTAGTTTTCACGTTTATCATTTTGACATACTTCTTATAAGGTTCCTCTTATTTACCTGTTTTGTTTTTGCTAGTGGGACATCCTTATTTTCAATTAATCTGAAATCACAAGTGGAATCTTTTTGAAAGTTTTGCGGTATACTTTCAATATATACGCTCAAAATTCAAAATAACCCCCGAGAGGGTTCTTTTTTTTTCGTAAATCTCGTAGTAATTTTTCATAGCACAAAGTTTATAAATCGCCCTGTATAACCAATTCTAATGAAAAATAAGTTATTTATTGTAGTAGGGGAGCCCAAGCGGGGATTTTGGGATTTTCTCGAGCGCAGATGAATAATATAAGGGGGGTAACCTTCGACATATAAAAAACATTTCATTCATAAAATACTATTTGTTTACACAATCATACATACTTCCAAAGTTTCAAATAAGTTAGAGGGGGATGGCTTTAAAAATGGCAACACTGTAAACTGTGCGTCAATGTTCATGGGTTGCTTGCCGAACATTGAAACACAACCTCACTTTCCTTATTTGTTTACAATGGGCTTATATAAAAAAAAAAATCATTTCATAATTCGATAGAACTCACCCAAACTAGCTCACCACCGCAAACCGTTTCTTGCTGTGAGCTCCCTACGTTTTATGAAAAACTATTGAAATCCCCGATTTTTCGGACCTCTGAAAACGAGGCGATGATGTGACGTCAAAACCCTAATACTGAAACAAAACTATTCCAGACAAAGATGAATGACAAAGCACCAAGATTGGTGAATCGGCAAGTTGATTTTTGGGACAAAGATAATAAGAACAAGAAGAAGATCAATTCTAACCTATATTAACTTTTTGCAGCTCCATGTAAAACGGGCCAACAAAGCAATGTTGCTGCGTTTATGAAATATATTGGATTATTGTGAAATTGTGATGGTGCAAATGGTTTTGAGATTGAGACATTTCGTTGTCTAGAGATTGTTTATATTCCAATGATTCAACCTACAATCGACAACTTGAATATATTTTTCTGCAGTAGTGGTAGTGGATATCGAAAGATATTTCAATCGATCGATTTCAATCTCTCGGATATTTTGTTTGGATGATATGGCAACAGTGATAAGTGTCAGTTTTAACTATGGCGAGATGAGGTTTCTACGTCATAAGAGAGTTCATTTTCAGAAGGTACTATTACTTATGTCAAAACAGCGTACATAAAAAAAAATAAAACATTCCAGTTAATTTTCGATAGAATTATGTCGTCAATCATTATTTATGTATTGAAGGATCATTATAAACATGGTTTGAGTTAAAAGTTCTACTAAGGTGTACACGCCCATTGATTGAAATAGTTTTTCACGATTATTTTGGCATTTTTCGGCTATTCAATAAATTGCACATGCCATCGCATTGTGGTGTTGTACAATGCACAAAAAATGCAGCGGGAGACGAAGGAATCCGGTTAGTACATTACGATTTAAAAGTAAGTACCTACTATAGTCACTCACATATAGTTTTCATGTTGAAATTCGGTAATTTCTCTGATTTCTCCTCAGAATTCCTTCTGCAATAGGAGCTGATAGAAATAGTCGTGAAGTTTCTAAAAGAATACAAGAAGATTGGTTCCATGCAATCAAACAGGAGGACTGGTCTGACATGCTGACGAAATATAATCGTGTGTGTTGTAGACATTTTTAATCTTTTAGCAGTATTAGCTTCTATTGCAGAAGTGGCAAAAGGAATTTTAATAAGAAATGACAAAATTTCATAATGAAAACTATTTGAGATTACTATTTACCTGAAAACTCATATTCCTTCGTCTCTCGCTGCATTTTTTGTGCATTGTACAACAGCACAATGAGAAGGCATGCTTGAATTAATGCATAGCGCAAAAAACACGATTCGTATGCCAAAATATCGTGAAAAACTATTTCAATCCTGTAAACAAATTAAAAAAGTGAGATTGTGTTTCAATATTTTACAGAAGAGTGATGTTGTGTTTCAATATTTTACCTCCAGGGTCTTTTCTTCATCAGTAGCATAGGTTAAGCGAGGGGCAAGACACTTTTACTACAATGACAACGTTATTATACCTGATAATAGGTCAATCCCCCAATTTATTGCGGTTGTCCCGATTCAAAAATCCATTCTCTTGAAATAAATCTGAAAATCCATGGACATCCAAGAGATATTTCAGGTACCTAGTTCATGAAAATCCATGGATAAACAAGGAAATCTTTAGAAATCCAAGGAAATCGTGTACACCATAAATTCACATCTGTTAACAAAATCATTTAAATTATCGGGGTTTCCCCACTGACTATTTTTCTCCCATGGCCCATTATACAGGGTGAGTCATGAGGAACTGTACATACTCCTACCACGAATAGAGGTCCTTGAGGGGAATACCGAATGACCATCAGAAAGTGTCTTCTTCTCTTCTTTTCCAATATATAGGGTGAATTATGAGATTTGGCAAAAACATCCTAGTTCTAGTTGTGTGAAACTCGCTCAGCCAATGCTTTGTGTTTTTGAGAAACCTATGACAACTTTACTGTCAACATTTTTTGGTGAACTATCATTCTCGATAGCCCGTTTCATGCAGAATAGGATGACGTTAATTTCTCTCTGTTATACAGTGTGTCCCACTTACCATGCTCACCATGGGTATCTTTTTGACGGTGAGAGATACGAGGTCGGTTAAATGACACCAAATGTGGAGTTTGTCAAGGCCAACTATAATGTGAAAAAATATTTTGATAAAATCTATTCGTTTTTGTTTTATACGCAAAAAACAGATTTTGATCATTTTCATGTCTTCTCCGTAACTTCTTTATTTATGAGAATATTCAAATAGGAATTTCACATTCTCATGGCAGTTTTTCAAAGTGATTTCGAAAAAATATGAAATTCATACCAACTCTTCTAGAATTTGAGATATCAGCACTTACTTCAGTTTTTCAAATGTAGGTCATAGCTCACTATGACTTAGTTACAAATAACTTTTTTTTCTCTTACAGATGATATGTCGCAGTAATAGTTTTGTGTTGATAACAACGGAGTTATCGTCATTTATACAAAAACAAAGAAATTATTTGGGAGCCGCCATCTTGAATTTATGATTTTCAACGAGAAATCATGAACTCCGTCCTCAAAAACCCCCACTCACCAATTTTGAATGGAATCGGACCAAATCTTGTCCGCCATCTTGGAGCAGCCATTTTTTCAATTTCAACAAAACTTCCATAATGTATTGTCACCGAAATTATGAACACCTGCCAAATTTCAAGCTAATCGGAGTTATGGAATTTTTGTTGAAATTAAAAAAAAATGGCTGCTCCAAGATGGCGTACAAGATTTGGTCCGATTCGGATCAAAATTGGTAAGTGGGGGTTTTTGAGGTCGGAGATCATGATTTTCTTGTTAAAATTAAAAAATTCAAGATGGCGGCTCCCAAATAATTTTTTTGTTTTTGTATAAATGACGATAACTTCGTTGTTATCAACACAAAACTATTACTGCGCCATATCATCTATAAGAGAAAAAAAAGTTATTTGTAACTAAGTCATAGTGAGCTATGACCTACATTTGAAAAACTAAAGCTGGTGCTGATATCTCAAATTCTAGAAGAGTTGGTATAAATTTCTTATTTTTTTCGAAATCACTATGAAAAACTGCCATGAGAATGTGAAATTCCTATTTGAATATTTTTATAAATAAAGAAGTTACGGAGAAGACATGAAAATGATCAAAATCTGTTTTCTAGCGTATAAAACAAAAACGAATAGATTTTATCAGAATATTTTTCACATTATAGTTGGCCTTGACAAACTCCACATTTGGTGTCATTTAACCGACCTCGTATCTCTCACCGTTAAAAAGATACCCATGGTGAGCATGGTAAGTGGGACACACTGTATATTGGAAAAGAAGTGTAAAAGACACTTTCTGATGGATATTCGGTATTCCCCTCAGGGGCCTTTATTCATGATAGGAGTATGTACAGTTCATCATGACTCACCCTGTATTCCTCATGATTTTCTTCTAAGGCCGTTTTGTGAGAGGCGTGGAAGTATTGTGTTTAGCCTGTTCTACTCATAGCCAGAAAAATGTTCGTGATATTGGTTATAGGAAATATTCTAATTTCAAAATGAGTTTTTGCACTGGAACGTGACTAAAATGAGTTTTTGATTTGAAGGGTTTACTCGATGTTCGTTTCAAGATTTCTATATGCTCGCACCGCACCGTTTTTTTGTTTATCGCGGTTATGTTGTGGTATTTTTGGAGAATATTTAGCAAAATCAACATTCGGTGAAGTAGAAGAATTTCCGAAAAATTTCACTGTTTTGAATTTGATAGATTTCACTGGTTGTCGAAGATTTTAGTTTATATGGTAGCTGGTGTTGATTTTGACGTCAAGTTTAAGGTTGATTTGAAAGGTTATGGACTTGAAATACGACAAAAGTACCGGGTGAGCGAAATTCGGCTCTATTTAGAAATGAAAAACGAAGAAAAAATTCGAAAAGAGGTTCTTGAATGGGATTACGTAAGGTGTATTGTAAGGCGAATTCGTATATTTTTCCATAGTTGGAAACTGAAGACGTCTTCAAAGTCTATTTTTCTTTACATTCCTAAGTTCCGGCATATTTGAGAAGAAGTCAATTTTCTGGATACATTCTGTGAGGAAACAAATTTGATATCTTTGAAAATCCATTTTTTACAAAGCTTATAATTTTTCAACGGATAAAAATGCCAAATTTGTTGAGAAAATTCATCTCTATATACAGGGTGAGTCATTAGTGTGGCAAAGTGAGATAACTGCTTTACTATTTGAGATAAATGAATAAAAATTTCAGAGATGATCTAGGATCATGAGCAGCACATATCCAAATTATTTCGCTTTATACAGGGTGACTCAGAAATGCGTGGCGTATCAAAGTTATATTTTACAGGGGACACCCTGTATTTCATTGCATTTTCGCATTCTCCTTTGTGAGCTGATTTCATCAATGCATAACACTTGAGGTCTAGCGAGAATGATTACAGAGATATAGGGTGTTCAAAATCCCGATTTTTCAACTTTAGGATTTTTTTGCGTCGAAACTATTCATTATTGGTCAAAACGGCTTTCATGTCCCTATCCCAACTTTTGATTTACTATCTACTGATATTTATTTGGAACAGATACAAGAGTGATCAGAAAGCTGAATCTAAAGTTGAAAAATCTCGATTTTGAACACCCTATATCTCTGTAATCATTTCCGCTAGACCCCAAGTGTGATGCATTGATGAAATCAGCTCACAAAGGAGAATGCGAAAATGCAATGAAATACAGGGTGTCCCATAAGAAAAAGTATAACTTTGATACGCCACGCATTTTTGAGTCACCCTGTATGAAGCGAAATAATTTGGAAATGTGCTGCTCATGATCCTAGATCATCTCTGGAACTTTTGTCTATCTATCTGAAACTGTAAAGCCGTTATCTCACTTTGCCACACTAAAGACTCACCCTGTATATAGGTTTTCGTTTTATGGAAAAATAATTCGATTACGTCATTACATTTATTCCCAAGTATGGGAAAAAACTGCAAATTTGACTTGAAATATATCTTATTTAGTGCCATTTGAAGTTTTTTTATCGTTTTTCCTATTCTTCTTAATAGATCAATAAATCTTAGACATAACATTTTCAGAACATCACAAGATAATTTCTAATGATTGATTTTCTTCTATATATTGTAATTGAGATTTATTTTCAGCTTCATATTTGCCATAAAAAATGAAATTTTGGCTGCATTCTTGAGACTGTCACATTATATGGGGTGTTATTTTTGAATTTGACAACTTTTTCTCACCATACATTATGGAGAACATAAAATTCAAAACGATCACCCCGGTATAGGCTGAAATTCCATAGAAAATCGAGTATTATCGATTCAGAAAAAACACTGTATATTTTATCTATGATTTCAAGTTTGATATAACAGTTTTTGATGCTGCCAGAAGTTGCCGATATTGACTGCTGTTGATCAAATCATTCAAAATAATTGTTTTTTTTTGTTGTTGTTAAAGTGGTGTTTGAATTGCTGATGGATTTGGTATGTGGTTTTTTCAACGCAGACTCATGAAATGACTTATATGTATTGTTATTTAATTACCTTGTATATATATAAAAAAATGTATAGACTGGACAAATAAAGTATATGTTGACAGTACAGTAAAGTTGATGATAGGTAAGTTTTTTATTTGTTTTAGTAGGTTATATTTTCAGTTCAGGTTCATTCATATCATTTGAAGTTTATAATGATATCAAGTCAACAATGTAAAACTGGTAAGAAAATAAGAAGCACACTGAACCTCTAAAATGCAAATGTTGTATTATCTGAAAAACCACAACAAAGAGCAATTTTCCGTTTTTTTTTAAATATAGGTACCGGGTGACACAGAAGACATGTAACATCCTGTAGTTTTTTTATTTGAAGAGATACAATTTTGAAAGTCACAAGGGTTATACAGGGCGTTTCAAAAAAACCTAACCCCTTTGCTAGGGTAGGTAGAACATTGCAAAACAAGTTCGGTGTGCTCAGTGAAAAAATGTCGTAACGGCATCCGTTTTCATGATACAAGGTGTTGAAAAAATTATTTTTTTACACATTTTTCACGATTATTCCGAAACTACTGGCAACATCGTAATGAAATTTTGTATGGATGTTTCTTGAAATCTGACACATCGCATGAATTTTTTTTATATCTGACTCTCATAGAGGGCGCTAGTTACACGGTTCGTACCGAGTAGTTTTGAACATAACTTTTTTGGGGTTAGATTTTTCAGTCCAAATTTGATGTGAACTTGAACATCATTCAATTTCACACCAAAAAGGTGATCTTGGTAAAACTCGATACCGTGTTCCGTTTTCGGAATATTTCGATTTGAAAATGATGAAATGGTGACTGTTGCTGGTATAAAGCTAGCATTAGAATGAGTATTATGAAAAATTATCACCTATTTATTGAAAACCGAAAACAACAATACATTGCTGATGCAAAACTCATTGTTTTGACAATGAATCACAAGAATAACATCGAAACAGATTTGACTAAGAACATGGATTACACAGTTTTGTTGTATCTTGGGCAGAAACTCTATGCTACATAGGTAAATTCACGTCAAGAGTTGTGAGACATAATTGAACATCACTTAAATAACCTAATAGCTGATCCTCAACTGTTCAGAAGAATAATACATTCTTAAGAAAAGAATATAAAATCGTGTATTCCTCGAAACGTAGGACATTTTGAACACTTACTCTAACTGATTCAATATTTTATGTGTCTAGTCAAATATCTCAATTTTTTACTTATTATTCTTTGTTTCATCGATAACTTCAGCACAAGAATGATTTTATTGTTTTTGAATCTGAATAAATAGGTAATTGAACTCAATAAAATTCATTTTATACCAGCATCATTACTACTCCATTATTTTCAAATCGAAATATTCCGAAAACGGAACACAGTATCGAGTTTTACCAAGAGTACCTTTTTGGTGTGAAATTGAATGATGTCCAAGTTCATATTATATTTGGATTGAAAAATCTAATCTCTGAAAAGTTATGTACAAAACTACTCGGTACGAACCGTGTAACTAGCGCCCTCTATGAGAGTCAGATATAAAAACAAATGCATGCGATGTGTCAGATTCCAAGAAACATCCATACGAAATTTCATCACAATGTTGCCAGTAGTTTCGACATAATCTTGAAAAATGTGTAAAAAAATATTTTTTCAACACCTTGTATCTTGATTGCGGAATTTTTTTACTGAGTAAACCCAACTTATTCTGCAGTGTTCTACCTACCCTAAAAAGGGGGTTGGGTTTTTTTGAAACACCCTGTATAATCGATGATGGCGCTTTCCTTGAACCCTATGACAATTTTCTTCAACCACCTGTTTGGATCGGAAGCAGACCCAACTTTTTTTTCAAATGGCACCCTGTATATTTCTGTAGCCTATTTTATTCGCTTTAAAATTGGATCTGATATTCTGATTTCATTTGGAAGCCTATGTGAGGCCTACATAATAAAGAAGAAGAAGAACCCAACACATAACAAATTTTTTGTGGCAGTTGGTATTTACTTGGTTTTCACTTGAAATCACTAAAGGCAAATTTCTGAATAAATTCAAATGAAAAACTTTGGTTATTTACATCATGATAAAATCGTTTATTCACAAGAAAAACGAGAATACGTACTGATTCTTCGGCAGATCACAGATAAAATTCCTATTATTTTCGTTAAAAATAAAGATAATGCATATACAAACACAGAGAGAAGTTGAAACGGCTCGTGCTCCTTTCAACATGGGAGGCTGATTTGGAAGTGTGAAATTCTAGAAAAACACTGACAAGATTTTTGTTCATACAAAATCCGGAAGAGGCGCTGATATCGTCATATTTGTAATGGCCATCGGACCAAACTCGGGACCAAATAACAACAATCACTTATATATTTTACGACAAAAAGTACAGAAATTTCCATTTTAAAGAGAATTCGAACAGCGACATCTATTAGAATAAGTTGTAACAAGAACCTTATTTTGCCATTTCCAACTGATGTTGTTTATTGAGCTCTTTTCTATCTTGAACGAGAGAGAGAAAAGTTCTCTCCTCTTCCATCTCTCTCTGCAATGCAACCAACATGGCCGCATTGAAATATAGAGGGGTCCGATAAATATTTCCTTGTCTAAAATCTACTTTGTGCCGCTGAACTATTTTTCAATTCAGCAGAGTGTCAAATTTAATGATATTAACAAATTATGTCAAAATTAGTATGATATAAATCAAAATTTTATTTTTGGAATTCTAAATGTCATCAGTCAATGACATTCATGACATAGACATATCACGTCATTATAATATATCTATATTTCAATGCGGATACGTTGGTATCATCGTTGATTGATATAATCCGTTGATTGATATATTACGCTTACGTATCATTGAAGAGAAAGATGGAAGAGGAGAGATATTTGCTCTCTCTCGTTCATGATAGAAAAGATACAAATAAAGCATCAGTGCGCGATTCTGGCAGATTTCATTGGTCAGAGGCTTCTTTCCGTTGGATGTTGCCAAGTCGCAAATTTGTATTTTATTCTGAATACTTTCAAGTAAAAGCACTGTTGCCAAATTCTCAAATTCTACTTGATATTAGAAAATAAAACCATTCCGGTGTAATATTTTATGTACAGAAATTCTTGAGGGGTCTCGGCCTCCTTTGCCTCTTTCTTGGAGCCGCCACTGAGTGGGACGCAATGAATTTGAGCAGGAATCAGCTGATTATGGGTAAATGACATACCTATCTTTATGACACATGCAGCCATATCAGTGATTCTTCTCTCTCTTATGTTGGTTTCAATACTTTGTACAAGGCACATCAATGTAGTTGATGTCATTAGAGCTTATTGTTAAAAATCTAAAAATAAGTACCTAGGTATAGGTACCACTACACTAAAGGTTCATGGATCTAGAATTTTTCGGGGCTTGCCAACCCCCGAAAGTTTTTTCTATTTCACAGGCTACCGCCAGTGTCAGTCTGTCATTATACGGTGCTGCAACCACCTGAAAAAACACGTGATATTAGTATTCTTGTCTTCCTTCTTCAGAAGAAATTTAACAAATTAAAAGCGATGTGTGCCTTTAGAAAACTTCGTGAGATGTTTTCTAGAAGAATATTTCAGAGAGCGAAAGAGGAATCAGCTATATAATCATATACGCAGGGTATAACATGAAGTTATAGTCATGTTGTAGCCATCTAGTGGCAAAGCTCTAAGGTAGGATACAGAAATCGCGACACACACTGTATGGCGCTGCCATCTATATAGTCACACGTACAGACCCCTACGTCTATACGCTACAGAGTGGTACTACAAGTAAACCACTCTGCTGACAGATGGCACTACCTGACATACTTGAGTGGAATTTTTCCACCACCTATTCAACTGCTAGATCTCATAACTAAGAGATCCAGGACGAACAGAGTTGTCAGCAGACCGAGAGCGGCTGATGAGACCTGGTGGGTCGAAACAGTACTGTCTCGCTCCTGCTGACAATTGGGGCAACTCTGTTCATCCTGGATCTCTTAATTATGAGATCTAGCAGTTGAATAGGTGGTGGAAAAATTCCAATAGTATATTATGTAACAAGTGTTATAAACGTCCTTTTAGTAACGAGTATTTTAAGCACGAGCGGAGCGAGTGTTTAATAAACGAGTGTCTAGAAGAGTTTATAAACGCGTTACATACTATGCTTTTTCTACGAACTCCGAAAATTACATTACCATACCTGCTATTCCTGCTAACCTACAAAATAATTCGAAAGGAACGGGAATTGAGAACATAATACATGCAACTGCATGCAACCTGCGAGACACGTATAAGTTGAAGATGTGTCCAGTCCATTGCTTACTAACCTTTGTTTCGCGTTTATTGTCATGCTTAGCGCAAAATAAATAAATTGTTTTCAAAGATGGATGCTTCATTTTTACACTTCTTGGAGATATGCAAGTACCAGAACATTCTCTTCGATTTCACTTTCGTCTACATTTCGCATATATTTTTAATAAAGAATTCTGATACAAACGAATATTGTTTGAATAATTCTGATACAAAATTTTAAAATAACAGTTGACAGTTAATACAATTGACAGACCAGACATGTCTCAAATTACTGAAGCTATGTTCAATGAACTGTGTTGCCATGGTAATGTGTTTAAAAGAAATCGTGTTGCCATGGTAGCGTGTTCAATATTTTGAGTACATCACAGATCGACAATCCGTGATTATTCGATCATTTAGCGTGGTACATATCCGTACGCTAAATGCTATTTTAGTTATGTGAGTAGAAAAATATCTATAATCATCTCTCAAAAGCTTTATGCATCTGGCCCTTGATGCTTTCCACTCACCTGAATCCCTACTGGCAACCCGTCTTTGGTGAGCTTGACCGGGCAACAGGTGACAGGCAGCCCGAGGGCGTTAAAAATGGACAAGTACGAGGAATCGAACACCTTCTTGAATATCTCCCCGTGCCGATGCGCCGCGGCGGTGAAAGTCGGCAACAGAAACACCCCATCGTGTCCCAACATCCTCACGAAGTCGGCCTTGAGATCGTCGATTTTGCGCATGCAGTAGTGCGTTGTGGATCTGGGAAGGGGGGTGGAGATCTTTCTGAGCACCCCGTAGAGGATGGAGGTGAGCACGAACTTGGACCTGAAGCATTGCTGGCATTAGGGTACTTTTGTACCGAGCTCTCGGTACCTTATTTATTGCACTCGTTACAAAAGTACTGCTTTTCTAAAATATGCTCCAATCGATATTATATTATATTATATTATTCCTCCCATGATTTAGAAAAGTATTTGATGAAATAAGAATAACAAACGAATATTTACTTTATAGTCAAAATCAGGATGAACAGAAGATGGTGGAGAAACTCCTATCAAATCCCATCTACTGTTTTTCGGTCAAAATTCTTGACCTACAGCCTACTTGACAGAATAAGGACCCTTATCAATATCGCGGAATATAGGTCGCATTTTACCCGTTAGATGGCGATATCCCAACCACAATTCAAGGTTGATAGAACTGCTCTTGTGATCATAATTCCACTGAAAATTACAGTTTCGTACTTTCAAATTCAATTTCATTTGATCTGAAGTTATGTTATGGATATTATAATATAATTATTTCTGGTACTAGCGGTGTGTAAGCGCCGTTTTCTGTCATGAAAGAAATCTCTAAAGAGTCACCATCTTGCAGACAACTGAGAACTAATATGCCATTATTGCGGAATCTGCGGTCAAGCGTTTTGGGAGAAACAAAACACTGTCTGTGATTACACCATATTCTATCCATCTTGGTTTAGACAGTACCTGAGGATTCACTGAGATGACTACTATATCTAGACCGCTAATGCCATAAAAAAGTAGCTATGCCACTTTCGAAATCGAACTGGAGAAATTGAATCATGCCCATTTAGGATCTGTCATATATCATACTCATTTGAACTAGATCTCATAATTAAGAGATCTTGGATGAACAGAGCTGCCCCAATTGTCTGTCTCTTAGTTATGAGATCTAATTCAATGAATAGGATTGATGGATCTTCCACTCAAATATAGTAAGGTAGTGCCATCTGTCAGCAGAGTGGTTTACTTGTACAAATTTGCAACGTTGTGGACGAAGAGGTCTGCTCGTGTTGACTATAGATGGCAGCGTCATACAGTGTCTGCTACAGTGACCCTACCTCACAACTATGCCACTAGATGGTGTATGTACATGTATTATCCGGCATCTTACCCGCTCTTACTTATGTTTTCGAACACCAAGAAACATGACTCGATATCATGTACGACAGTTTGGAAGTTCCTGCCCATATAGCAGTAGCGTTTTCACTGAAATAGCGTTCTTGATAGTAGTTATAGTTGATTTTTCCCGTTAAACCGTGTTCAAGACGATTTGAAATGAATCATTTTCTTGTGTAAGGTATGACGTCACCAAGTAATACGGCTCATTCCGGTACAAAAACTCCTTGATGAACTGTTTAAACTACGTAAACGAGTGTATAGGAGTGGTAAAACGTCGAAGTTTGAGGTTATGAATGTTTTTTAGTTTCGTTTTAGCTTAAGAAAAATTGATTGTGATGATGGTATGGTGAATATTGAAGTTGATTATTTGATGTGATTTGGTACTGAGTGTGGATAAGCATTTTGAGAAGTTTCTTTTCAAAATGTTATGTTTTCTTGAATGTGCTAAATTACAACGTATATCGCTTGAAAACGGTTCAAAATCAATCTTGGAATACAGTCCAACAACAAAAATCAACTTAAGTCAGTTGATTTTTTTCACTATATTTGACAGAATTGTGATACATTCTCCAAAGAGCAGCAACCCAGAAATCTCATCTCGTCTGAAAATACGTAGGTACCTTCTATAGAGGTGCCTAAATCTTTCGAACCATTTCCATCAGTGATATATGGTGATATGTTGAGATCCGTGTTTTTTTATGATTATTTCTCGCAATAAAATTTCATCTGTATAGTGAATTATTTGGCTTTCAAGGATGTTTTTCCTTCCTCCGAAGACCCCGAGGATCTCCTTAAAAAATTGCATACATCCATAATGTATCACGTGATTCACTCAATGAACTCAGTGATTGATTCACTGTGGCATCTCAACTGTGGCAAATCTGACAATGAGGTTTGGGAATGGTGGGAAAACTTTAGGCACTTGATATCTCCAAGGCATTCGATTGAGTCTGGCACCACGGACTCCTCGCCAAGCTTCCATCTTATGGCTTGCCTCCCCAGCACAGCAATGTGCTAGCTAGTTTTCTCTCAAACAGGTCTCATCTCCATGTAGTGGTCGACGGAGTTTCATCTGACTCTCTTATCACAAATGCTGGTGTTCCGCAAGGATCAATTCTAGCACCAACACTATTTCTACTCCATATCAACGATTTGTTGGAAGCAACTTCATGTCCAGTACACAGTATCGCGGATGATAGTACCCTCCATTCCACCTTCTCTTCCAGGGCTCCAATACCAGCCAGCCAAATCCGAAACGAACGAGGAAGAAATGTTGACAACATGAATATGAACTTGGCAACAATTCTTGAATGGGGATCCAATAACTTGGTAGATTTCAATGCAAACAAAACACAAGCATGCCTTTTCTTTAGAGAAGCCGATCTCACTGTGCCCAACATAAGCTTTTCAGGAGTAACCATACCCTTGAAGACATCCATTTCGATGTTTGGTATTACTATCAGCAATAACCTCTCACGTGAGATCAATCGCTAAAAGTGTATCCCAAAAACTTGCTTTTCTGTTTTGGGACAGGAACTATTTCACTTCCAGTCAGCTGCTTATGATCTATAAGGCACAGATCCGAACTGTCCTGGAATACTTTTCCCATATTTGGAGTGCAGCATCCAAGCATACCCTGAAACTGTTGGATTCTGTCCAAAAAAGAGTAATTCGTCTCGTGGGTGATGCCTCGCTCACAAACTCACTCACTTCTCTAGAACACTGTAGAAAAGTTGGCGATCTGGCTCGCTATTTTATAGATATTTTCATGGACGATGCTCTTCTGAAATATCAATAATTGTTCCTCCCTTGGCAGTCCCCGCGAGATTAACCCGAACATAAAAATAAGGCTCTCGTCCTTCTATATGGCATAGCGGTCTAGTTTATTTATATAGCTTATGGTACTCGTTGAGGCAGTACTGACCTGAAGGTGAGGTACTTGAAGAGTTCGGCTATGGAGCCGTCCCCACGGCCCGAGAAGAGGTTGTCAACGTCATCGATGTCGAGTAGCGCTAGGGTAGATAGTTCCGGGGCGTACTTCATAAGGGGTAGGTCTACCTGGAAAAAGGCTTGGGGTCAACTGGAATGTCAAAAAATTTTTAATTCATCACGGACTCGAATAACTTCTGAACCTAAGAAGCATTAATGTAGGTATGAACAACATATTGTCGGAAAATAAAGTTCCCTAATGAAAATTCAATGCTGTTTTCTCTGTTCCAGTCCAACTTTCATTTCTTCAGCACATTCATTTAGTGTTGCAGACATCAATTAGTTATCACTATTATAGATTCCTTCTATGAATGTAGAAACATTTTTTGCATTAATTTCCCTATTAACCGAGTCGCCCTTCATTCCTATAAATCGACCATTATTATAAGTGGCAGACATAACCTAACAGCAGCTATAACTGAGAAGCCACAGCACCAGCCGTCATACTCTCCAAGTCTCCACTGTACTGGTAGTGAAAAAATGCATGAAATGTAAGAATGCTCATTCTAGTAGAGATTATTCTAATAGTAATAGGATGCTAATCGAATAAAATGAATATTTTTCAAGTACCTATAGAGACATAAATTATCATTATGATTCAATATAAAGATTTCTTTACAACCCATCATCTCACCTTTTCGCAATTAACGTGGCAGATTTGATCTAAACGTTCGATTACGGAATGTAGTGCATCAAGGCATTCGTCGCTAACTTTTGAGGTTAATGCTGATTGGATATCTTCCATATAATGTACCTTGATGGTTTTCACATCCACCTAAAAAAAATCATTCATAAATCAAAAATATGTAAATACATACAAATAATGCTAGATCAAGTAGGTATCGCACTGTTCTTGATAAGGGTACGAGATGATTATTTCATACTCATATAACGAAATTCCACAAATTCAGTTATCTATCCAGGAATCGCAGAAATTTGAACCAGCTGAAATTCCAGATAAACACCCAAACAAACATGGTCTTTCAGGGACTTGTGTTTCGTAACAAAACAAACAAAATACCTACAATAAATATTTGATCATGTATTATAGTGCTTTTCATCGTCGATTGAGAATATATTCATGCTAAAATATGCTTATGGACAGGTTTGTTCTTGTCTAGCAGCTATTTTGTGCCGTTTTTGTGACGAATGACCGGGCTGAATGACAGGACTAAGTGGTAGGATGGCGGGGCTAACAAGTTTAAGTGACGGGGCTGAACAGAAACGTCACAAAAAGTCACAGCAACGTCACAGGTTTGTCAGAGCACCACACATGTGACAAAACCGCCACAAAAACGTCACCAAATCGTCAAACTACTTCGGTTCGGGCAGCTGAGAGTGCGGGTTAATCTCGCGGAGACTGCCAAGGGAGGAACAATTGTTGATACTTCAGAAGAGCATCGTCCATAAAAATATCTATAAAATAGAGCCAGATCGCCAACTTTTCTACGGTGTTCCAGAGAAGTGAGTGAGTTTCTGAGCGAGGCATCACCCACGAGACGAATTGCCCTTTTTTGGACAGAATCCAACAGTCTCAGGGTATGTTTGGGTGCTGCACTCCAAATATGGAAACAGTATTCCAGGACAGGTCGGATCTGTGCCTTATAGATCATAAGCAGCTGACTGGAAGTGAAATAGCTCTTGGCCCGAAACAGAAAACCAAGTTTTTGGGATGCACTTTTAGCAATTGATCTCACGTGATTTTGCCAAGAAAGGTTATTGCTGATCGATAGTAATACCAAGCATCGAAATGGATGTCTTCAAAGATATGGTTACTCCTGACAATCTTATGTTGGGCACAGTGAGATCGGCTTTTCTAGAGAAAATGCATGCTTGTGTATTGTTTGCGTTGAAATCTACCAAGTTATTGGACCCCCATTCGAGAATTGTTGCCAAGTCCATATTTATGTTGTCAACAATTCTTCCTCGTTCGTTTCTGATTTGCCTGGCTGGTATTGGAACCCTGGAAAAGAAGGCGGTATGTAGGGTACTATCATCCGCGAAGCTGTGTACTGGCACTGGACATGAAGTTGCTTTCAACAAATCGTTGATAATGGAGTAGAAACAGTGTCGGTGCTAGAATTGGCCAATGATATATCTATATACGCTAAAATATGCTTATGGACAGGCCTGTTCTCGTCTAGCAGCTATTTTGTGACGTTATTGTGACGAATGGTGGGGCTGAATGGTGGGGATAAGTGGTAAGATGGCAGGACTAAGTGACGGGGCTTAACAGAACGTCACAGAAATGTCACGGGTTTGTCCGAGCACCAAACATGTCTCACAAAAACGCCACCAACACCAAATCGTCAAACTACGTTGGTTCAGGCAGCTGAGAGTGTGGTATTGGTGAACTAGTCTGGCGGAATTCCTAGTTAAAATTCGAGACCTACCGGTTGGTCGAGCATCAGCTCGTTTCTGACCCTAGGCTCAGCGATAACCTGCAGCAGCACCCGCAGATCCTTGGCGTACCTCGCCATAGGCCCCAAAGTGAAGGCCGCAGTCCACACGTCTTCGTGCCTGCAGCTGGGGTAGTGCCCCACGTTGGAGACTGCCCCTGGGGTGGGTTTGTGGCCCCACACGCCGCAAAAATGGGCGGGCAGCCGAAGAGAGCCGGCGACGTCCGAGCCTATGCCGATGACCGAGGCGCCTATGGCCAGAAGGCTCGCCTGAAACGTTGTGACGTGTCTTCAGCAAACGTTTAATTAAATAAATACAAAAAGCTTAAAGTCATTTCCTCACAATGTTCATAAAATGAACAACAATGGTAGTTATCGGGAGAAAAACAACTACTTTCCTGGATAATGCCACGCAGAACATTGAATCCCAATCAGCCAAAGTACGTCTTAAAGGCGTCTTTAAGACGTACATGTCGGGACATAAGTACGTCTTAAAGACGTACATATTACGCCCAAGAGACGTCTTTAAGACGTCTTTAAAACGTACAATTTCCACTAATATGTACGTCTTTAAGACGCCTTTTTTAGGTGTTTTTGGTCCATGACCTCAATTGATCTTTCAAATTACGGAAAAATCACATAGTTTCAGTTGATTTTCACCTGTGCACTGAAGTTAGCAACAAGTGCAGACAAGCAAAAAAAGGGAAATAAACGACTTCATCAAACGGTAGACACAAGCGGTCACCCATTCAAGTACTAACCGCGCTCTTTGTGGCTTGACTTCGATGATTATACCATATTCACTTCTTCTGTTACTGTGTTTGTTCTATATATCACATAACAAGCTTTTACTTACTTTAACATGTCCTTGTGTCTGTTTGTAATCAAAACGTGCAAGTTAAATTTGACTCACTTTAAATCGTCCGATTGATTTGAAATTTGGCAAGTAAATATTATTCCGGTGACAATTCGTTGTGATATTATTATTGAATGGAAAAAAACAGAATGGCGGATCCAATATGGCGGACGATTTTCTCATTGAGTATGTTCCGATTCGAATCAAAATTCAATATTAAAGATGGTGAATCCGATGTGGCATATGGTTTTCTGATTATGGTCTGATTTGATTCAAAATTGGCATCTGAAGGATTTCGGGATCAGAGATTATAATTCCTTTTGTCGAAAATGAAAAATCCAAGATGTCGGCTTCAAAATGGCGGACGAGTTTTGTGATTATAGTCCGATTTTATTCAAAATTGATTACTATGGGTCTTTTGGGGTCGGAGAATATGATTTTTTTGTAAAAATTCGAGAATCTAACACGAAGGCTCCAAAATGTCGGACGAAAAAATTCAAAAACATCACTTTTGTTGAAAATAAGAAAAAACTGAACAATTGAAAATGAAAAACGTGAAGAGATGACATTTTGTTTTTCTTCAGAAAATAACTTACATTATTGTTCTATAAGTCGAATTGACGTACTGGAATGTACGTCTTTAAGACGTCTTTTATACGACATGGGAGGAACGACGTGGATACGACCTAAAATGTACGTCTTAAAGACGAAAATTCGTGTACGTCTTCAAGATGTACATGGATTTACATCTTAAAGACGTACTTTATACGTCCCTGGACGTAAAGACGTAAGTAAGTCGTAAAATGTACGTCTTTAAGATGTCTGGTGCTGATTGGCGGGATTATATTCTCCCGAAATCTATGCATCGACGCGTTCAAACGAATACTGATACAAAGTGATTCTTTCCTGAATGCCTATTGATTTCGATTTAGCCAGGCCACGCTAGACCAGGACTAAGTATACTTCACAGGAAAAATGATAACATCGTACCTCACCTCCAGAGGACCCCCCACAAGTCCTGGTGGTATCGTGGGGGTTTTTGGTGGTCCCCACCAGCTTGTTGGTGGACTCCCAGTTCATGCATAGCTCCGGGATGTTGGAGGTAAGAAGGGGAATGGCGCCGGCGTCTTTTACGCGTCTGACGACGTCGGCGTCGGTCTCAGCGATGACGTCAGCTCTGGCCACCATGCCTGAGGTGCTCTTCATGGCTGCCACTTCGATACTGCCTTTTATCGTGATTGGCACACCTGAATTACCATGAAAATCACAAGGGGTTTACAGAAAAATCACAGGAAATCACACATTGATGATGAGAAAAAAAGAGGTAACGAAGAAATCACAAGGAAATTACAGTAAAATCACAAGATGATCACAATAAAACACACGATCACAGGAATATCGTTATACAGGGTGTTCCTTTTAATGATATGGTAATATTCAAGAGGCCGATTCTTCGGCCCATTTCAAGAATAAAACTTCATGCGAACGTATGTCCAAAAAGTCCTAATTTTTGAGATACAGGGTGTCAATGTTGAAAATATGCATAGATTATTTGTTTGTCCACCCTGTATAGCTTTTCGTGATGGCAAAATTCAGTCTGCTATGTGACTGAATCGGTATACAAATTCCAAAATGTTACATACTCTGGTTATCCAGTAATGAATGTCCTGAATGCAGTACTCGGACATCAAAATTTGAAGTCTGGTCTCGTTTTTATGTTTTTTCTCGAAAACGAAGCGTTTTATCGAGTATCAACAGGAGGATCTTTTTTGTTCATAATTAAATAGTCCTTTATGACATTGTATAAAATTTTAAAAATTTTTTGTCGTTCCTCACTTTCAAGTCAAAAATATAAACAATAATATTCCCGTAACGGTGCTACTGGTAGAGAAAATGAAAAAAAATTGTGTACATCAGCAAATGCATTATGCAAATTATCTTTCAAGATCAGTAAATATAACGTCGGGTGTTCCTCAAGGCACACATCTAGGTCCCCTACTTTTCAATATTTACATAAATGACATCTCTGAATGTTTCAAATTCTCGTATTTACTTATGTATGCTGATGATCTTAAAATATTTCATACAGTTTCACACTTGAATGATTGCATGCTTATTCAAGAGGACCTTGATCGCTTCTGAGAGTACTGCAGAAATAACTCCCACTTCCTGAATCTCAACAAATGCCATCAGATGACTTTTAGTAGAAACTCTAATTTAATTACCCTTAACTATACCATGCAGGATCATTATCTTCACATCTGTAGTGAAGTGAAGGATTTGGGAATTATTTTTGATTCAAAAATGAATTTCCATAAACATATTTCTTACATTTATAAGAAAGCGAACAGAATGCTAGGTTTCATTTTGAGAACAACTTATCCTTTCAAAGGTTATAATACCTTGCGTACTCTTTTCATGTCATACGTGAATATTCTGCTAGGCTTCGGCTCAACCATTTGAAATCCTCATTATATAATAGATATGTTTATATATATATATGTTTTTCTCGAAAAAGAAGCGTTTTATCGAGTATCAACAAGAGGATCTTTTTTGTACATAATTACCCAGGCAACCAGATGACGAATGATCACGTCACTGTGACGTCCCTAATTGGTGATTTTTCATCAGAGACGTCGCACACCAATTCATGACGTCATATGACGTACTTTCTATGACGTGATAATCACGTCATCGTTTCGACATCGAGTGAACGTCACTTAGATCGGTAAAAGAAGACGTCAGTTTCATGACGTTGTAGAGACGTCCTGTCGACGTCCATTTTTGCCAGACCTTCTCTAAACCATGGGTACTTTTATATTATCATGTGAAACAGAAGTATAACTCATGAAAGCAAATCAACATGCAAGTTTTATTGGAATTAATAATATACCCGAAAAGTAGGAGAAAACTTTTTCTAAAAAACGTTGACACACTGTATATCTCGGAAACCAACAAGCTATGTATATGTACAAATGATTGTTTAGGAATACCTATATTGAAACCATTACTCTTATGACGTTGCAGTGACGTATCTATGACGTCTAAAAATCACGTCGGTGTGACGTACCAATTTGGTGAGCTTCGTCATTTAGGAAATTTTTCAATAATTTGCTATTCAGATTTTTGTTGGGTGACAAAGAATGCATCAATATACATTATTCAACAAAGTGAAGCCAAATTCGCCAACATCCTTTCCATTGCTATCAAACTATTCTTTGTTTGCTTACATCTCGCCGACACAAACTACATAATTTTTTATACAAATACGAGTAACTGATTGCATTCTGATGGAGATGCGTACTGAAGGATAGCGCTGCTGAATAGGCGATTGAATGAACATGACACAGGAGCATATACGTATTAATAAACAATACGGATCATAACGGGTGCCAGGATGAAGAAGCCAAAAATATGAAACAAATGAATATCCATAAGGATTTGGTGGCATGATACGTAGTCATCAAAGACATGCGTTTCGGTGGACAATGACGTTTACTAGCCTTTCAATCAAAGGAGTATGTGTCTGATCGTATCTCACTTTTCCTTATGGATAGTCATTTGTCTTCAAGAATCGGCTTCATGTTTCGCAATGGAAACAGATAGAGATTATCCGTATTGATTATTAATACGTATATGCACAGGAGGGACCCACCAAGCAGACTCAACAATGCATAAACAATATTATATAATGTCATCAGAGGCTAGTGGTGTTTATTACACCATGTTGAAGGAATTTTTTTACGTATCATCGCCAAATTCTATCGTCATTTTGACGTCATTATGACGTCACAGTTTGGTGAGTGAATGACATCAATGACGACGTGAGTAATATGACGTCATTGGGCTGTGACTTCAATTTGGTTCCTAACGACATTGTGGAGTAATTGAATACCAATAATTCATTATCACTTCACTCGCCCATTCCTATCATAGGAACTGAAAATATGAAATTTGTGGTAATAGATACTCGCCTAATAACGGACTTTGTTCTTTAATTTCCTCTATGGTCATAGTTTGGTTGTGGAGGAAATCATCGACTCTTTTGGCATCCTCCAGAGCAGCTTGGAATCTGTCTTCGATGACTGCATTGATAATGGGGTTGACTTGTTGTATCCTTGTGATGTATGCTTTTATGACAAGCTCACAAGATATCTGAAAATCAACGTCCGAAGACAAAATAGTATCACAAAAAGAAAAGAAGGGACGCTCAAAGTCATCTCCAAAACTTTTTCAATGATGCAAGTTATTCAGGAGGACATGGAATTATAGAGATCCATTTTCAGCCCAAACAAGACAGTACTACAAAGAGAATCATAATATCATACAAAATTGGAGGAACCAAAAAATTGGACTTACTTACATGGAGTGAAGCTAAAATTTACTGTAGGTAAGTAAGTTCAATTTTTTGTTTTCTCAAATTTTGTATGATGTTATGATTCTCTTTGTACCTGGTTCTAAGCTACCTCCCCACCAATTTTCAGCCAAATCGATCCAGTAGTTTCGGAATCTATTCAATATACATACAAACAAACAATCAAATCTTTGATCTTTATAATATTAGTATAGATAATTATAATAAAGGAGTTCTAACAACCTTCATAGGAGATTTACCTACTACCATAATATATATACTGTATCCAAAATTTAATATTTTCGACAAATAGTAGATTGTTTTATTAGGATCAAAAGTGACACTTTGTTTGACAAGCGAATTTTGCATTTGCGAGGCGGAGCGTTTAGCGAAGCCGAGCGAAAGCGAAATTTGCGAGTCGAACAAAGTCACTTTTGATCCGGATGAAACATGCTATTTTTTCTGCAACCGAAACAATTAACTCAAATAAACATGTGAAGTAACCACCAATGCCGTGCCATATGTATGCAATGCAACAAATATTGACAAATAATCCGTGTGGTGAGAATAGGTATTTCTACCTGCATTAACAGCAGGTTAGGTTTTCAAGGATGTTCGAATTGTAGTTTCAATATAAATACAACCACAGAGTGACATATTTGTGTATGGACCAGGTGCTCTTATGGCAAATACCGCGCCAGTGCCAGCTATAGGAACAAGACGTGGAAAATGTTAGGTTAGTGAGCATATCAACAATGATAATGGTGATTATTTATTCCTCTCCATACTACACTGTGTTTGACTTGATAATCAAATGAAGCTAAACAATATCGTTGTTTGAGACAAAAAAACTATTGCTTGCCGTGAATATTCAAAAACAAGTTATCCATCCCGAGAATAACGAATGAAATACAGATCAAGCAAATATTTGAATCTTGAAGGCTTCCCTGATCAAAACAAAAATACTTAACTGGGATGTTTATAATTCCAATACTAAACTATAGTAAGGTGTATTTATATCTCCAGCATGGGTATGAAATGCCAAATCTGCTGAAATCGGAAACAAATCAAGTATGCGACTCAACCCAAATAACCAGCCGTCACAATTTTGTTGTTTATTCTTGATGACGTCCAGTATATCCTTTTTAGTTCCTAGGAGCTAAAGTTCAACTTTAGCTCCTAGGAACTAAAATTCAACTTTAGCTCCTAGGAACTAAATATGTTGCCTAGCAACATACCTATTTTTGTGTCAGCAATAGTAACGTCAATTTAAGAGCTAATTTTAGTATCAAAATGGACGACTTTTGTGTCGGTTGCAGAAAAAAAGTCTTACCTTGCGGTTTCTGATTTTTTCTGCTAGTTCGATAGCTGACAGCAGCAACAGATCGTTAGGAATGGCAGGACAAATCTTAGATTTTTTGAAGAGTTTCGTGAAGATCACTGGGAGATAGAGCACGTTGACTGATTTGAGCACCAGCCAGCACAAAATTCGTATGGCTGTTATCCCAGGAGGCATTGTCTAAAAAAACAAAACAAAAATTGAATTCGCCGTATCATTTTTTCCTGAAGTCAAAATTTGCTGTATATACAGGGTGTTTCCGAAATTGGGGCGATGAATAAAATGGGGACATATTATATGACATAATGACAAGATAAATCACAAGAAAAAATGGTTTTGAAATTTTTTTAAAAAATGTGCGCTTCCACCATAACTACATCTTTCAACTATTATTGAACGTCCGGCAACATTGCAAAAGCCATTGATACTTCCGGTCCTTGTGATCTTGCCGAAAGCAAACGCTTGGGTTAGGCTACCTCTCAGGCAATCTCTAATGCTCAATATCTCCCATAATATTTGTTTTTCGACAAAAATGTATTCTTTCATTTCGTTTTGTTTTTTTGTCTTCTATCATCCATTTCATTGATTGCCCCAATTTCGGAAACACCCTGTATATAGAATGCACCAATGCAAATCTAGAAGATCGAAGGCATAAGTGAATTTTATTCAAATCCTTTCAATGTCTCAATATGAGATATTTCTTTACTTTCATTCCATAAAATTATACAGGGTGGCGATAGAAGTGATTTTGAATCATTTTTAATGGCACATCCTTCATATATATTTGAGAATCTGATTCCGATTCGTTGCATTCTTGTGATTATAAGGTTTTTTATTTCCACTGATACGCTTCTATGTGCCATAAAAATATAATGAGGTTGTTTTGTGAGTTATTCGTGTTCCTTATATCTCATTTTCAAATAATTGTTTCGTAAATGTGTGTCTGATAGCAGTAGAAAAGTCATTTCGGAGACAGATAGAAGTGTATGCCAATTACAAATGGCGACATATGGAGCATTTATTATTCACTCACAAGCAAAGAAACTGGCCAGCAAAAAAAAAAAACGAAATTGATCGCCCTGTAACTTTTTTATTTTTTGACCGATTTTAGTGAAATTCCTACCAAATCATACACGGAAAAAAAGGATTTGTTGCATCAATAAATAATTTATGCTTGAATAATTTTTGTTGGACTGAGAAATTTTTTGTTGAATCAGCAGATACATGATTATTTCATGGAAGCAGCTTGTTCATATCAAGAATGTAGTCTAATTGAATCAACAGTATAATATCAATTCCATCAACAAAATATATACACTCAGTTCCAAAAAAAATGACGCACTTGATATTTGACCTATCTTCTTAAAAAAAAAAACAGAAAATAGTAGGCCAATTTTTATTTTCTTCTATTCGTTGGTAGGTAATGCATTTGTCTTAAAAAAAAATGAAGAGGTGACAATTTTTTCAAAACCTCCTCGATGGTGGTGGAATAACTCGAACCATGATTTATTCTTAATTTTTGACTCACCCTGTGTGTTAATTGAGTAATGGCATGGAAAATGCTTGCACCCTATACGAAAGAGGCTTTTTTTGCGAGCTTTTGTTTTTCATTCATTGATTTATCTCTGAAATTTTCCGAATTACAGCTTTCTTGCTGAAACTTTACGCTTATCCCACGAATTAAATTTATTGAAGGATCAGAGTAGGTACTCAAAATTGATTGGGTTGTACTCTGGTAGGATCACATAGTCTTTAAAAAAACAAATGCCGTTGCCATAGCAACTAGTTTGTTGTATGCCTCCATATTTGACCATTTGTCGTTGTGACATTAATCAAGTGTCTTGTTTTATTGACTAAAATTACATAAAATGCCTCAAATAAATCCTGAACAAGTAGCAAGATTAGTTGCGTTAGTAAACGGTGGGCGTAGTAAACGTTACGCCGCTCGTGCAATGGGAGTTCATGAAGCAACTGCTCGTAGAGCAATCCGCAAGTACGAACAAACAGGAAGCACCGTTCGGAGGGTCGGTTCTGGTCGCCCCCGAAAAACTTCTCCAAGAGATGATCGCTTCTTGAGATTGCGGATTTTACGGAATCGATCAAATACTGCGGTAAATGTTGAGCAAGATCTTCGCCAAATTCGTGATGTTGCAGTAAGTAAGCAGACGGTATGTAGACGTCTAAAAGAAGTTGATTTAAAAGCTAGGAGACCTGCAAAATATCCCAAATTCCTATATTATATTCCTGAATGGTCGAATGTCTTGTTTACGGATGAGTCAAGGTTTTGCCTTAACATGGTGGATGGAAGAAAAAGAGTGTGGAGAAGAACTGGTGAACGGTTTAATCAAAATTTAATAACATAATGCGAAAGTTTTAATGGTGGGTCCATTATGGTGTGGGGAGGGATTTCAATGAATGGAAAGACACCTGTTCATGTACATTAGACAAATAGGTTTGAAAGTCGGAAGACTGAAACCAAGTAAGGGGTTTTATAAAACATATGCAGATTGCCAAATGCATAAGGTTGAAGTCCACTCGTTAGTGAGTGGGGGTGGATGGACATGGGGATGAGGAGCTATCATATAACGTAAGATATGGCGGCACTTGATCCTGGGCATTCAACCTTTCGGGGGGCGTGGTGGTGGTGGTGGTGTTTGAAATATCAGCTGGATAAATCGAACTTAGAATGCTTAGCAAGCCGAAATAGCTTTGGATCAGCTGGAGAGTGAAGAGAAGTATAGATTGGAGATCTATGATAGAAGACGACTATAGTTTCCTAGTTTAGTTTTTGTTCTATTGATGTGGAATTTCAGTAAATTCCCGAATCAATACTGAATTTGGTTCAACAAAACAGTACTACGAACATCAATATTTTCTATGTTTTTGTTCATAAAAAGACCCTTTTAACGAAAACTGTTCACTTCGCATTGACGCAAGAGGAATTTTTTGTGTGAGAGATATTGACGCTTCAGAATGTGCTTCAAAAATCACAATTTCTCCAGAGGCATAAAAGTTTGGGGGGTTAAACCGTTACGAGGCGTTGAGAATCTGAATATTCCAGCTTAATCCACATTTCCGAAGAGAGCTCAGAGTTCATTATTGAATACTATAATATGGAATTCAAATCGCACACACTGTATATATATTTACATAAACATGCTCCATTTTCTGCATTCAGCATCCGCCACTGCAAAATCTCATATTATTATAGTCATCTTATACTTTTGAAATTTGGCAACGTCAAAGATTTCGGCTAATTAGATATTATTATGGCAAAAAACTTTATAACTACAGTGACGCAGATTGAATTCGCAAAACTGACTTAACTTTAGCGAAACACTCAGGAAATTGATAAATTTAAGGCCTTGACCGATGTTCAAGGTGTAATAAGTATTTATTTGATTCAAGTAGGTGGTTAGCATCTGTGTAATAAAGGAAAAACACGAAAATTCAGGTAAGTAAGATGTGTACAGCAATCATTGTTGAATAGTTATTTATTATACAAGGGGAAAAAGTTGTAGATTTTAGCTCGAGGTTGTGTTGTCAAAAACCGTGTGCTAAAATCTAATATTTTCAACGTGTATACAGGGTGAGTCATGAGGAACTGTACATACTCCTACCACGAATAGAGGCCCTTGAGGGGAATACCTAATGTCTATCAGAAAGTGTCTTCTTCACTTCTTTTCCAATATACAGGGTGTTTCATAATTGAATGCTGATCCTAAAGGGCGATGATCCTTGGATGATTTTAAGGAGAGAAGTTCATATCAATATATGTCCTGAACCTCTTAGTTTTTGAGCTACAGTGTGTTGAAATCAGAAGCGTACAGCGTTTTTTTAAACAAAACATTCAATATCAGGTCTACGAGGACATCACTGGTGAAAGTAAAAGTTTGATTTTCGTCCCAAAACAAAATGTGTTTCCACTTATAGTGGGTGTCTACTGAATTACCAAAAACAATATCCAAGAACTGAAGGAACAAAATTCTTTGGTTTTTATTTTTTACGCGAAAACGGTACGTTGTATGAAAGTAAGTCTAGGAACCAAATTTGCTCCAAAATGAATAAGAATTGAAAAAAAAAAATCCGGTTCTCAGAAAAATCAGTGGCGTACTATTTTTTTCTTCAAAAATTGTCAGTTCAAACCCCGTACGGACGCCACTGGTGAGAATTTTTAAATATCTTTCACGTAAAAAAATGGTCAGCTCTTCAGGGAGAATCTAAAAATACAATGAAAAATAGGGTGTTTCATTTAAAAAAATCATATAGTACCCTGTAGATCGTTTGTTCCGAGCACCCTGTATTTTCTGATCTAGCGGAAAAAAACTTTATCGAAAATCATTCAAGATGATATTTCAAATTTTAAAATCGGTTCAAAAATAACTGAGCTAGAGGGGGGGACATTTATGGTGAATCACCCTGTACTTTCCTGACTTAAACCACAGAATATTGAATTATCTGTTAAGTAGGTATTATAATTATTCTTTGTTTATAATATTTCCTAGCTAGAGTGAAAACACGACATGAAATGTCACTGACACAATTGGAAAACAATTAAAAATCATTTACATCCATCTTCAAACGTGTCGTTATTGGATTGTGATTTATAAACAAGAAGTTTGAATGAGGAACTGATTATATTGTTTTTGCACGATACCTACCAAATTATTGAACAGGAACATTCTCAGATTGGCAAATAGCCAGGAAAGTTGTTTTCTGTTGAATATTCAGATTGATATTATGTGCATATATTTATATGAAGGAGAATGCAAATTCTCTACTTCAGAAGATTTTGTTTTCAAATTCTTATCGTGTGTGTTCAATAGATTAATTCAATGTTCGTCGTGGCATATATCCAGGAAAGTAGTTGTTTTCTGTTGAATAAACCGAGAAAGAATTGATTTTTTCATCACATAGAGAATGCGAATTCTCAATGTATTTATTTATATACACAACGTGTTTTCGGAATGAGTGCATATATTCAGCACATTAATATGATAAAGATAAAGTCTAAGGAATATTTCCATGACATCAGATTTTTGCTAATTCTTCTAATTATCGAGAAATTTCATCCAAAAACTTGAACAAAATACGAGATAAGAATCAAGTACGCCCTCGAGTACGTCACTTTTCTATCGATACTTCCACGGAAAATGTTCTTCGGAAATCTCTGCTATCATCC